ATCGGGGGCTCAGGCAGGCAAGGTGAAACAGCTGCAACAATCTTTACATAGTTAAACACACATCCTTACGTTGTTAAACAAATGCAGCGTAAACAAAACACACACCTTTAGACAGTTAAAGTAATAATCTGAAGCATAAAACACATCTTTGCCCAGTTAAAATAATGTTCCACAACAGAATGGTTTTGATTCCATTCCCACCAAAACTAGATCATTTTAGTTAAAAAATAACTTTAAACAAATGCTTCCTAAACATTTTGGATTTGGGATACACTCTTCTAATGCTGTTTGGAACTGTTAACCTCAAAGGCAGTGGCTTGAAATAAAACAAAACCCCATTCCCTTACAATTCTATAATCAGAAGGCTGGCTGGGTCTTACTAGACTGAAACCAAGAAGTCATCCCTCAGCATGGTAATGAATACCTTTAACTCCAGCACGTGGGAGGCTAAGGCAGGAAGATCACAAGTTTGAGGGAAACCTGGGCTACACAGTGAGTTCCTGTCTCAAACAAACAAGAAAAATGTGTAGAGGTCCACAGTCTGCAGAGATACCAGGGGACAGCCACCATCCGCTCATGCTGGCCATCACTCCTCATACTTGAAGTCCTCATGTTCCAGCTGGCTGGGGTGGTGTTTCATGGCTGTGGTACAGCATCCAGACACTAACACAGGCTCGACTCTCTCATCTCTTGGACCCCTTTCTCAGGGCTCAGAGTCAGACTGGACCACCTGAATAACCCAGGATAAACTCACAATTTCAAGGGCTTAGCCTTCACTATGCATGCCTATGAGTTGAGTCCATATGCCACCAATGCCACGTGGCAGTCATTGGTTCTGTGAAATAAACTCAAACATTTCTGCAAGCTAGTCTGCCACCCATAGAAGGTATAACCTATCTCTGAGGTTTTACCAAAGCAGAAGAGAAACCAGATTTTAACAGGCAACTGCATGCCTCCCAAGGCCCGTTACACTACTAAATAGAGCACAGAAAACAAGCAGCAACAGGGGACGGGGTACTTGCAAAGTTTAGGGAAGGTTTCTCAAGACTCAGCATTAAGAAACTGGGCATTTTGATTAGGATTAGCCAGAGGCGGAAGAGCGGCTGGATGGTGGGAAAGGTGGAGGTGTGTGTCACAAGTGAGCTATGACTGGAGGAAACTGCTTATGGACTAGAGTGGGAAGACTCTGGCATGAAGGACTGAATTCCTGCTAACACGGATGGGGGAAGCAGTAAGTCTGTAGACAGTGGGGGGGGGGTGGGCATTGGAAAAGGTCAGCAGCACAATGAATAAGGACAGGCAGCAAGCACAAGAAGGGGTTTAAAGCCTGGGGTGGAGGTGGGGGTGGGGTGGGGGGCAGACTCCTCAAGAACAGACTCTCCATAGGCTTCTAGCATAAGAATTTTAATACTTCTTTTTTTTATTCAACACAAATCCTGTGTGAGCACTTTGTGGAGTGGAGCTGTGCTCACATGGAAGGAACCTGGGATATTTAGCTTTTGCTGAACACTGTTCCAATTTCCAGTCAAAATATTGAAAGGAAGTGTAATGTGTAGCTTATACTAGGAACTTTACTACATAACTAAGCCCCCTTTTAAACTGGCAAATACCTGCTGGCAGTGTATGATAATGTTCCCTGACATTCCAGACTCCTAGAGAGCCAGTGTTCTTTGTTTCCAAACCAAGCACCCACAAGAGCCACACACGCCACTGCCACCTCCCCATCCCTAGCTGCCGCGTAGGCAGAAGCATTTTTAACTTAGGACACAATGAGGCCATCCTGTAAAGGTTTGGACACAGACATCATGAACACTGCCACTCACCTTTCATCTACATAGAAGTCACATAGTACATTCACCGAGACTGTTCACCATCTTCAAATGTAACCACATGTATTTATCACTGAGCTAGGAAGTTACAAAGTTAATTAAAAATAGACACACCCAATTATCAATAAATATCTAACTTACTTTAAACAATGTGGGCAAAATATAAAACTTTTATTTATTTATCAAGACAGAATCTCACCACATAGCCCTGGAGAGCCCAGGATCTGCTACGTAGAACAGCCTGACCTCGAACTTGTGATCTGTATCTCAGCTTCCCAGTTGCTGGCACTACAGGTGTGCACCATGTTTGGCTACATTTTTAAAAATACTGACAATATGTAACTGAAAGTGTTCATGGATATACTGGTTACATTATAAAACAACACACTATAATTAAATATTATGGCTACTGAAATTTCTTCAACCCGTAGGTGGCTCATGTTCTAAACGCCTATTCAGACAATGTAGTAGGAATCAGTGCAACTTTCCTTCCTCATAACACCACTTTCTCTCTCATCTACTTCATAAGAAGCACTCATTCATCATCTTTTCAACCCTCCCAACTAACCTACCCCAGGCTTAAACTTTGCAAGACAGTTGGCTCTGGGCAGCTCGTGGAGTTAGGACTGCTTATTTCTTGGCAGCTTTCAAGAGGAGATGTTAATTGAAAGGTTAATCAAGTCAGTCATACTTCTGTGTTAGTTAAATAGATGTCCTGTCTCCTGCACAGGTGGCAGATGTGTGACATTCCGCCAAGAAGGTTGTTGAACCTATGCACACCTTCTTCCAGGGGCTCAGACGCAGGACAGCATGTGGCATGCTGGCAAATCAGATTATCCCCATGTCCACAGCTCTTCTGCTCACCCACATTTCCACACTCGAAGCTATTTCATAGTTCTAAACTGAACCAGATCAAAGGCCAGCTCTGTGGTGAGCTTGAGGTTACTTAGAGACACAAGCTTCAGAGCAGATAGGCCAAGACAGTCTGTGAAGACCCCGCCTGCTCTGACCAAAGCTGCTGCTAGGAATGTCTTAGATAGTTCAACCGAAGTCTTTCTACAGATAACTAACTATACAAACCAGGCCCATGTAAAGACACAGCAGGTCACCAAGAAGTCACCAGATATCAGGGCTAGCAAGGAAACACAGGTGGAAGATACTGGTTGGTCCTTCCTATAAAACATGCCCCTGTGTGGTGACAACCCTAACAGTGCACTGTCCTCACCATGCTTTGGAATGCATTGGGGCAGGCTGTGAACAGGCTCACAGTTTGCGAGTAGTGATTGTCAAGGCTTCGGCTCACTTCCTGGGGTCCACTTAGAACACTTGTGAAGGGTGGCTGCTTATGAAATACCATCAAAACTTATTTCTTTAGGAGAAAATGTTACTTTAAGAACTCTGCTGTCTGCCAAGGGCCATCTCTGGGTCTGTGTTCCTGCTGCAGCTGGGGTCTGTTACCCCATGTTACTACAGGGGGTCACAGGAACAATGCATGTTGAATTGAGGCCTCTGCTGAGCTGGCTCTATCCCTCACTGGCCTTCAAGTAGCTGGCCCTACCCCTCGCTGGACACTGCAGCAGGGGAGATGGCCTCACCCCTCACCATGGGCATAGGAGAACTTGATGGCATGGGCATAGGAGAGCTGGCTCTGCCCCTTGCCTGAGGGGCGGTCCCAGTGGTCCAGACCAGCCAGGTCAGACACCACAGATTCACATCCTGGACCTTGAGTCCATCCACCTGTTAGTATTTAGGCATTTGTACTGGCCAGTCCTTGGGGTCCTGACAGGACACACCCTCAGCTGCAGCCACTAAGTACCACCTGTGCATATTCACTGTGTTCCCTTTTAAAAGGGCCCTGCCCACCTCTCATCCTCTCTCCCCCTTCTCTCCTTTTCTATTCTCCTCTCTCCCGCTGCTCCTGTCTCAGGAAGGCGGTCTCAACCCTTCCCTTTCCCCTTTTAATACGGCCTCTTTCCCTAATGAAAACCCCTCTGCTTGAACCTTGCCGTGTGGCCTCTTCCTCTTGTGCACCACTTTTCTTAAATTACAACACTACCTTGCTGGAGTGCATGGAGGGCCTGGTCCTGGGGAGTAACTACAAGATCTCCGTGACCTGGGACAACAGAATATCCCAGACGAGTTTTGATGAGGATCCAGTGATGACCCTGTGGCATAGGCCTTGAACCAGACCAATGACTCATTGCAATGAACACTTTGCATGTGGGGCTGATTGGACAAAAGGGCATGATACATCACAGTTCCTGATGTCATGTAACATGATAAATAAAAGACCCAGGGGCAGATATTGGGGTTCAAGCTTCAAGCTGAAGATCAGAAAAGCAAAGCAGCTGGTACTAGCTTATGCTACCTCAGACTGAAAGGCGATCCTGGCTCCACCAAACCTCAAGCTGCTGTCTCTCCTCAGTGTGGCCAGAGAATCCTGAGACTTCAATGTGGCTGGAAAATAAATGCCCGATCTGAGACCTTGCTCCTGTCTTATATACATCCCTAATGATGGGATTAAAGGCATGTGATTCCAGGTGTTGGGATCAGAGGCATGAGCTGTTGTTACTCATCACTCTTGTGTAGCCATGGTGGCCTTGAACTAACAGAGATCCCTCTACCTCTTAATCCTGAGTCCTGGGATTAAAGGTGTGTGCCACCACTGCCTAAGCTCTATAGCTTGTGGCTGACTTTACTTTCTGAATCCTCAGGCAAGCTTTAATAAATCATAGTATGTCACCACAATGCCACTACGATGAATGAAGAGGAGTTGGGAAGATGGAGGAGCAATGTGGTTTTTTGTTTGTTTGGTTTAGTTTTTAATTAATGGGGGGGAAGGGATCTTTAGGGCATGCTCCAAGGGTGAGGGACTGAGAGATGAGCAGGATTGGGGTACATGATGTGAAATTTCCAAAGAATCAATAAAGAACTGTTAAAAAAAAAAAAAAAAAATTCTGCCATGAAATTTCTCAAAGTACCATCTACTTGATGAAAATCATTTAAGTTACACAAAGAATATAAAATTATAAATAATCACAATTCTAGGTTCAAAAGTACATTTATTTAAATGTGAGCAAGTTATCAATATAAAAGAAAAGTGTAAGAAATAAAAATAATCAAAGTACAAAACATCTCAAATCTTTAACATCCATAATTTAGACAGCAAAGTCTTTATTTACATAATTTTATTTGTAGATGAAATTTCATACAGTTTTCTGAAAACACATAAAAACCTGGCAAATTAATCAGAAGACTTAATGTGGGCTCTTAGGAATATAATACAAAACATAATTTATGTTTCCTAGAATAAGATCACACATCTTAACACGATGCAGTCAGTTATTACATCTGTCTTCCTGGTAGAGGTCTCTCCCTAAGGCAGAGCTGGAAAACAAGCCCTCTGCGGGGAAGGAGTCCTGGTGTGCACGCTGCCAGCAGCTACCCTGTGCTCCAGGCTCCAGGCTCACAGCACACAAGAGGCTGTCAGTTAAATTTATATGTAGTCTTGTTGAGGAAAACGGTTTTCACACTCAAGGCAGCAGGATCACATCCACCAGAGCCCCTATGTGAGGGGGCAGTTCTGGTGACAGACACTCCCACCAGCATGCACAGGCTCCCACAGCATGACACATGGGTAGCTGGGTGGAAGCACTCTGCTTAGGTGACTCTAAGCATATAGGGTCAGAGCTAAAGCCCAATCCAATGCACAGTCCTGATGGCTTCCTGTCCCCAAAGCTACCACAAAAACCATATCCTCAAGAGGGCTGTCACCCTAACATCTTTTGTGGGCAACTTTTAGGCTTCCTAAATGCTGAGACCCTTTAATACAGTAGCTCTTCACGATGTGGTCACTCCAATCATAAAATCACTTAGTTGCTACTTCCTAATTGTAATTTTGCTACTGTTATGAATCATAATGTAAATAATATCTGACATGCAGGGTATCTGATATGTAATCCCAATGAAAGTGTGGTTTGACCCTCCCAGGGGCTGTGATCCACAGGTTGAGAACCACTGCACTATAGCTATGGAACAGGCCCACAGATGACTAATGTGACCTGAAAGCAACTTTTCCATTGGAAAATAAGCAGGGCACAGATGTTCTCAGGGAAAACCCTGGAGCAGACACAAGAGAACATGCTGCATAGACCAGATGCTGCAGCACACCTGCCTCCCATCACTCACACTGGCTCCTGGCCCTCACTCTGTCCCCAGTGCCACCCAGCTGAGTCTTTTAGCCCATATTTTACTGAGCTCTCTGAGGCCAAGAGCAAGTGTTTGGTAAATGCACTCAGCTGGTGACACCACATAGCTGAAGGACCAAGGATGACACCACTGTGACCTGGCTGCAAAACATGAAACATGGGGGCTGATCACACATTAATGCAACTGCCTCAGCTGGGCATGGTGGCTCATGGCTGCAATGCTCATGGCAGTCCTCAAGGCTAAAGCCAGAGGATCTCTGTGAGTCTTAAACCACACAGAAATACATAGTGCCTGGCCAGCCTGCAACAGAGTGAAACCTCCCCAAAATCTATGTCCTTCTAAAACTAATACTGGAGATATTTTGGCATGGACTTTAGCCATTCTCTTACCCAGGCACATCTATAATTTACACAATGCTGTGTCAGTTCCCACCTCACCCCCTTAAGCACTGGCTTGAATCATTTTCTATGGTGTGTAACTGTCAAATCCCCAAACACCTACATAAGCCAGAAGGGTCCTTAGTCTGCCACCTGTTGACAGAACTCTCAAAAGGGCTTCTGACTGCACATTCTGAACGGCAAAGAAAAGGTCTGGTGACAAGAACCATGGTGTCCCTTTTCACCCAGGAAACACACTGTCATCCTTGCCTGTTCCCGCTATGCAAAGGATATGATTCGTAGTCCAGTGTCTGTGTGAGCACTCCCGTCAGAACAAACTCAGCATTATGAACATCTGAACGGAAAGAACCAAAACCATTAGGACAAGGCCACTGTGAATGCTGCAAGGCCAGTGCAGAGGTGTGGGGAGCCATACCTATTCCTCTGGCAAAGTACTCTCGACATAAGTGCAGATCATTCTCACAGGATATTAAAATGATCTCTGACAGACTCTAGGAAGAGAGAGAGCTCATAAGTGAGGGAAAGATGCCCATGTGTGACAGCTCTGGCTTCTTGGGGCTCTGTTCTCTCACCTTATTCTGCTTGTGCTCCATGAGCTTCCGGAAGGAAGGCTGCTTGGCCAGCACCTTTCCCCCTGCACACTCTACAATTGCCTTCATTGTTGCAAGGCTCGGGCAGATGCCAGGGGTGATGTAGAAATACTTTGTCTAGAAATAAACAGATGCATAACTTCATAAATTGGATCCTGAGTTTTGTATGCTTTGTTTTTTGAGACAGGGTCTCTCTATGGAGACCTGGCTGTCCCAGAACTTTCTTTGAGGACCAGGCTGACCTCCAACTCACAGATCCTCCTGACTCTGTCTCAAGAACTGGGATTTAAAGGCATAAACCATCCTATCCAGATCTGAGATTTTTAACAAAATCTTTAATTTTCTGAAACTACTAAGGTTATATTCCCCATCAGTTCCCTCCCTACCCAGACACACACAAAGGGAACCACATTTAACTGCCTGTGGTTCATCCGCAGACATTAATAATAACAAACTCCAGTTCAAAAATGTGTTGGTGTTGCACTAAGGACAGAATCAAAACACTTACCTTGATGTCACTTAGCCAAAAATAAGTCCAGAATTTGAATTCTCTACTTCTCTCTCCCTGTGTCTCCCATCCTCCTCTCTGTATTGTGTGAGTCTGAACCTGTGCCTGCCTGAAAGCTATCTTGTGAATCTGTCCCTGTTCCTCTCCCCTTTACTGAATAGCATAGAAATCAACGTCATAGAAACTAGCACAAAAGGCAATGATCCAGACAACAGACAATATTACAAGCATGACTGTTTATCAAGCAGCATCCAAATGTTGTATTCAACATTTATGGTGGATAGTTATTTATAAGATGGCTTTCATCTTATCTGTTGCTTCCAGCAAAGATTATCAGAACACCCATTCAAACTTGCATGCATTACTCTTAGGTCAGGGGCATGGGAGAGTATATAATTTAAGTACAGCTATGTACTAGTTGATTACATGGGAAAACCAAGGCAAGTAATGCTGACTGTTTCTCCCCACCCCACCTTTGTTCCCTGCCCCCTCATTTTTCTAGAGGGTTTCTCTGTGTATAGCTGTCCTGGAACTCACTTTGTAGACCAGGCTGGCCCGGAACTCACAGAGACCCACCTGGCCCTGTCTCGTGAATGCTAGGATTAAAGGCGTGCACCACCACACCTGGCCTAAACTGCTCTCTCAAAGGGAAGTTAGACAAACAGGCGTGGTGCACAGTAGGACACAGTCTTAGGTCTCAAGTAACCCCAGGTGTATTACTAGCTTCACTGCCAAGTCCAATAAAAGTTCCATTCTCTTAGAACCTAAGCTATTTTTATCACAATGCATTGCCACAGCTGTGCCAACTACAAGAACCAAAGCATTCCATGCCAAGGCAGGGTGATGGCACACATTTGCAGTCTGTAAAATACCAAGGTAGTGTGGCATTTGGCCACAGCTGTCTGCCCAGCAGGGGAAGAGCAGCCCCATCCTGCTGCTACCAACAGAATAGGAAATCATACTGACACTGACACTTTCCTAGGCTTATCACAAAACTCTCACAGAGAAAGGTAAACATTTAGAAAACTCACACCCCTAGAGGGAAAAGTGAATCTTACCTTCTGAATTCTAAGAAGTTCAAAGACCAAATGATTTTTATTGACTACTTAGTTCTTTGATACAAAAAATACTTCCCAACTATTCTCGTTCCTAGCAAATACTTGAAATATAGACTTCTAAATTTTCCATTTAGCATTCATTCAATGTTCTTTCAATACCCTCTCCAGTGGAATACACACTTATTGTGAACACCACAGAGGGAACCTTCAAAAATTTGTCAAGAGCCAGAAAACAAAACCAAACCCTTATGTTTCCTACCAGTTCAGTTATTCATCAATACACTCTTGAATCCCTTCGCTGACAGATCTACTCACTAGGTTATTATAGCAATTTCAGCATCAGAGTAAAGAGCGTGGTCGCACAACTTTAATCTCAGCACTCAGGACAGAGAGGCAAGAGGATCTCTTAAGTTGGCGGCCAGCCTGGTCTACATAGCAACTTCCAGTCCAGTCTGGTCTACACAATGAGACCCCATCAATGTTCCTGAGGATGTGCCACACTCCCTTGCAGAAAGAGTAGCCATGAAGTGGAAAGGACAGTTGAGTGATTCCATCCATCACCTGGGTCACTGTCACATCTACTTAGCTCTATGGGGGTTTTCCTTCTAACATACCTTGAAGAGAGGAGAAACGTGGGCTCGCTTTAAGGACTCTTCCAGACTGAAGGAGAAGAGCACTTCCGCCTCAGCATCTCGCAGGATATAGTTCTGCTCATCTGGAAAACAGGCAGTGTACATCATCCGCAGTCACACTCACCCCGCCACCTGGGTATTGTCTTGACACAGGCTAGAGTCATCTGAGAAGACGGAACCTCAATTGGGAAACTGCCTCCTGTGGTAGTTTGAATGTAATTGGCCCCTATAAGCTCATAGGGAGTGGCACTATCAGGAGATGTGTCTATGTTGAACAGGTGTGGCCTTATCAGAGCAAGTCATTGTGGGGATGGGCTTTGAAGTCTCCTTTGCTCAAGCTACACCAAGTGTGGACACAGACTCCTTCTGCTGCCTGTGGATCAAGATGTAGAACTCTCAGCTCCTTCTACAGCACCATGTCCGCCTATACGCTGCCATGCCATACCATGATAATGGACTGAACCTCTGAAACAGTAAGACACCCTCAATTACATGTTTTCCTTAATAGGAGTTGCTGTGGTCATGATGGCTCTTCACAGCAATAGAAAACCTAAGACACCGCCATAAGATCAGGGGCATTTTCTTTATTAGTGTCTGATGGAAGAGAGCTCAGTCCACTGTGGGCAGTCCACCCCTGGACTGGTGGTCCTAGGTACTAAATGAGAGCAGGCTGAGAAAGCCATGCGGGACAAGCCACTAAGTAGCACACTCCTCCATGACGTCTGCATCAGCTCCCGCCTACAGTTCCTACCCCGCTTTAGTTCCTGTGCTGACTTCCTTGGATGATGAACTGTGATATGGAAGTGTACACAAACTAAACCCTTTTCTTCTCAAGTTGCTTTTTGGTCATGGTGTTTCATCATAACAACAGTAACCCTAACTAAGATAGTTATGTCTCACTTTCTTTTCACTCACTTCCCTTGAAAACAGCCAGACGACAAAACCAGGTAAGTGTTCTACCACTGAGCTACACTGCAGCCCCCAGGGGTAACTACTAATAGGAAGTACCATCCTGTTAGAGCTTCCAGAGACTGCTCATCAGTGGGCCCCAATGAGAGGATGGCCACAGTTAGGTGCTCTTGTGTAAGACTTTTCAATGTGGAAACCGCATTTTATAGGCTCATTTTCAAATGAAAAGCACTGAGACCAACGGCTGCAAGCTGCCTTTTCCCTTGATGCACTCAAAGGCTAATCCTTTATGTCCTATAGTAGACTACAAAGATGTCAACCAAAGAAATCCCTGTGACGGGAAAGAAATTTATAAGTTTAAAATAATACATAAATCCAAGAAAAGGCAACACGTCTGTCACTGAAACCGAGCCCCAAGGCATGACACTCACCGATGAACTTCTGGCACTTGAAGCACTCCTCCAGCCACTCCGGAGTCACAATGTGCTTCACCACAGAGATGGCCGTCAGGAACTTCACTGTGCGTGTCACCTTGCTGGCGATGAGGTGGGTACACTTCTTTGTGGACTCGGCAACTTCCCCACCCAGGATGTACAGCTTCTGCAGCCACAAACACAGCATGGAGGAAACTAACATCAGCAGAGTGACCCAGGAGACCAGTCCCAGGGCAGGACTCGCTCTTGCCTTCCTCAGCTGCATTAATGATGGGAAAAGCAAACCTCAAGAGACAAGCACAGAGCGCCTCCAATGGCTGCAGCAGTAGCCAACCCCTCACAAACTTGTGTCAAAACAAATTCTCCAGAAACCAATACCTCCAATCTAAAAAGCCCGAGGCTCCAGGGCTCACTGCGTTACAGATACTCTACCCTGAAATAGATCCCTAGGAAGCACATGGGCCCCATCTCCATCTTGACAGTGGTACAACGGGGGTCTGAGGCATACACATGTAACAGAGACCTTGCAACAGCCCTGCTTAGATTTCAGAGGTAAAGAAATGAATTGTACTAAATATATAACAGGAGTATTAGTTATTGCTTCCTTAAAAAGAATAGCAAGAGGGGTTCTGGCAAGATGGCTCAGTGGATAAGGGCCTGATGATAAGAGTCATTCCTGGAACCCACATGGTCGAAGGAGAACTGACTCGCACATGCTCTCCAGGTGTGTGCTGTGTGGCACCTGTGCACCACCCTGCCTTTGACACAGCACACAAAGTATTTTTTTAAGTAAAGTTTAAGAAGCCAATCTTATATAGCCAGAGTTTTTTGACCATCTTCCACCAAAACAAAGCTACCAATTTACCAGATCCTATCAACCCCTCCAATGTTATCTCAAAACATGTATTTGGAAATGTTCAATTATTACCACGTTCCTTACCCACCCTACCCCCAAGAGTGGCCTCCTCCTTCCTCAGAGGACTAATCATGGGCAGACCATGTTCTCAGAAAACCAGCAGAGGCCTAGTACCCCCAAGCCTAAACAGAGTCTCTATAAAAATTACCCAGACTTTTGTGGCAACAAAAAATCTAATAATGAACAAGGAAATAATGACACTGAACAAGGCGACCACAAACAATACTCCACAAACACTATCAGTGGGGCTGTAACAGGCTGTTTCCAATTCAACAGCCAATGCTACCTCAGCAAGGAGGGTGCCTACATGCAAGCCAGTCAAGCACTCTACCCCAGTGACACCTCCCAGCTAAGCCCTATGCTAATAAATGGTTAGCCTAAAGCACATACAGAGAGACCCTGCTGAAAACCTTTAAACACAATTTTCACCTTAATGTACTGCTGAACTTGAACAGGCTCAAACCCGGTGAAAAGCACATAAGGCGTCAGCTCTGGACTCAGCTTCTTAGTGGGAGGTGGCAGGTCCTCGATTCTGTGATGCAAACACACAGGGAGGTAAGGCCTTCAAACAAGTGCTCTTTAGGAAACCCAGACTCAACAAGCTTTAAGAACTTGAGTGTTGGGGGGCAGGGGCTGTGATGGATAATGTCCTTTCTCTCCCAACATATAGTCCACCCCGAAGGGTGCCACCTGAAACATCCAAGAGAAGCATCCAGATCGTTCTCGCTAACAACGATGTTCTCAGGTGGACATGAAGGTGCATACCCCCAACTCCAGCCCTTGGGAGATAGAGGCAGGAAGATCAAATTAAAGCCAACCTCAGCTACATAGTTTGAGACCAGCCTGGGCTACATGACACCCTGAACAATGAAACAGTAAGGAAAGAGGCCAATATTCTTCTCTGCCCTATCAGTCACTCCCTTGTAATTTTAGTTCAGTCAGGGTTTAAAAAGAAGCGGTATTAACACTAATTTTTGTTTCATTGATTTACCAGCTTGCCCATTATAGCGGTCAATCTTCAACTTAAACGTATGTCCCCATTACAGAGGCCACTCTTCGCATTAAAGTGTATTTTTAATATTTTCATTGTGTAATACTTTGCCATGGGGCTGATAGAGCCCAGAGCTTTACAACACTGGGCAAAGGCTCTACAACTGAGTATAACCCCAGTACCTTACATCAAGCTTTTAAAAAAAAAAAACCCAAGTGACGCTGGGTGGCTCATGAGGACAGATAGAGGGTCTCCTTGCACTACACACTGTTAAATTCTAGCCCTGTCTTCATCAAGACATTGCAAGGCACAGCTTAAGTAAAAGCCTTTGGTCTTGTATAGTTACCTTCAATGTACTCAAATCTTATTTCTCAGTTTCTATGGAAATGAGGTGGTCTAGAAAAATTTTCACCTTTATCCATGTCTATTTCAACAGCTTTTAAAAACTGAGTTTTACTCAGTCTGTGCTGTGTGTGGGGAGTGAGGAGAGAGAGGAGATGAGGAAATGCTGGTCACAAAGGCTGTTCAACAGCCCCTCTCAGCAAGTACACTGTGGAGCCAAGAGCCCCTGAGGGTCATGGAGAGACCAGAGCCCCTTCCTTGGCTTGCTACTGTTCGCTGTGGCTTCTGCTCTCAGGGAGGCAGCCATTCTCCCTGCAGACGAGCCAAAGAGTAGACATGTACTAACAACACCCAATCAGCACGCCTCGTGCAAAGCACACAGTCCCTCAGAGAAGCTGGTCTTTCTTTCCCAGGGCGGCCTCTCTGAGAACTGATAGCTCAGAGTGACCCAGCACCCAGCACCCAGGGACATTTAGAGCACTTGGCAGAGGAAGCCTGCCTGCCCACAGCAGCTGCTGCTTCACACATTTGGGTAAAGCTTTCCTTAAGAAAACAGTTCTAGTTTTTATTTTCAGTAAGTAAAAATGAAAAGTGCTTAATCACTTAGTATCTCTCAAATGAGCAACTGTGGCAGGACAAGATCCAAAACTGACTTATGATTATGTATATCAGGGTTTTGCCCACATGTGTGTCTGTGTACCGTGTACATGCCTGGTGCCCACAGAGGCTAGAAGAGGGCATCAGATACCCTGGGACTAGATTTATAGGCAGCTGTGAGCAGTCATGTGGGTGCTGGGAACCGAACCCAGGTCCTCTGCAAAGCAGTCAATCAATGCTGTGAGCCATGGCTCCAGCCCTACAGATACAATTTACTATGAAAACTCTCAGAAACATTTGAGTCAGCTCCAATCTTCCAAAGCAGACTAAAAGACAGGAAAGTGTAAAGGGCCTGCCCCGCTGCACATACCTGGCTCTTTTAGAAGAAGGCTGGATGTTGGCAACCTCATTTGGCTTCAGCTTAGGGGGCAATCTTACACCCTGTAATAAAACATTGTCCACTTCGATCAAGAATCTCCAAGAATGCAGAAGCTTCCAAGACCATGTCTCCACCACCCACAGGACCATGGCCCTCACTGCTAGGAAGGCTGGAATGGCACTGGCCAGGAGCAAATGCTAACACCCTAAAGAACCTGCCTTTTCCCTTCTTTCCTTTTCTATTCACCAAGTCCCTGGATACTGAACCTTAGCAAGAACCTGTCCTACCTCAGTGAAAAGTCTCACCCACCAGCCTAAACCACTGCCCCAGGACAGAAGTGCGCCAACAAGACAGAAGGGGAGAATGGAGATTGCCTGCCTGCAGGCCCCAACTCACGGGCCACCTACACTATGCCACACTGTCACACTGTCTGCTCCTTCACACTGTAACTCAGAGGCCTTTTTTTTTTTTTTTGAAAGATACTTTAGTTAGCTAGGCCTGGTAATCCAGGCCTATAAAATTTGAGGCCTATCTAGGCTACAGCACGAGTTCAAGGCCAGCTTGTTTCAAAATACATAAAAAGGGCTGGGTACAGAACCATTGCCTAACACCATCAACTAAACAAAACAAACCCTCAAACCCCACCGCCTTTACCTGCTTGCGTCACTATGTTTATGATCCTTTTCTGAATCTGGCTCAGATTCACTTAACAAGTCACATCCCCTACCCGTGCTGCCATGACACAACCAAGAAAGCCAAGCACACCTCCTCTGCACTGTGCACCTACCAGCCTCAGAAGCCTAAGCAGCATACCACATAGCGTCTGCAGGAAGGTGGACTCCAAGTCCACCTCTGCCATTCCCATAGCACACCCCCTAGCCAGGAGGGAACCTGCTGGGAGCTGCAGCTTTAATACAAAGGCCCAGGAGACCAGTCTGGTAAGGCTGCCCAATTCTCAGTACGGGCTATGTGGGTTGTGGGAGATGACTCTGATTGTCACTCTACCATCTGGGCCCCCCTCAGGAAGTCTTTCACTGCATGAGCAGGAAGGGCACTGGCTTTTGCTAATGTGCCTAAGCGGGCCAAGATCTATTAAAGTCATAATTACAAGTTTAAGCCGTAGAAAAAATATACACCTGCCAGCAGGCTGGGCTTCCTGCAAGAGTAGGAGTCAGCAGGCCTGTACCCAATTGAAGGAACTGTTTACGAAGGATCAGGAGGTATGGCCTTGTTGGAAGAGGTGTCTCTGGGGCTGGGCCTGCGGTTTTTAAAAGCCCACACCTGGCCCAGTGTCTCCCTCTGCCTCCTGCTGTGGATCAGAAGTAAGTACTAAGCTACTGCTTTTGTCATGCATGTGTGCTTGCTGCTGCCAAGCCCCCTGCCATGATGACTCTAGCCCTCTGAAACTATAGCAAGCCCCCAGGTAAACGCTTTCTTTTAGCCAGGTGGTGGTGGTGGCACACACCCCCACCCTCCAAAGCTTTTTTTCACAGCAATAGAACAGAGACTACAACAGGGGTGAACATGACTGAATTTGTGTATGAGTACATGAAATGCAATAGTAATAAATTTAAAATATAAAGTAAAAATACTTTTACAAAACATGTTAATGTATTTGTGGCAGGCATGCAGTCAGTCCTAAGCCTACAGTAGTCACTATGGAGCAGCAAAGCGCTGCTCTCCCCAGGGTGGGGACTCATGACAAGAACAATATGTCTATCGAGTAAACACTAATAGAGCAAAGCCACAATCTCAACAAGCCTCAAAGGTGAGAATATAGATAGCCTTTACCAGATGATCTGCAACTAACAACGTCCAGAATGTTCTATCCTGAAGTGGACTGCCAGAATATCCAATATGACATGACTCTACCCTGGAACACTCAGGAATGTTCTCCCAAAACAGGGGAAGGAACTCTGACCTGTGGCCTGTGTAAGATCTGCCATTTCCAGTGTCTCTGTGAAGGCCTTGCCCACTAGCTATGAAAAATAGCTGACATCTAAGTTCTCTTTCTCGGTTCCTAGAGTGTAACACAGATCTCTGAAGCTAGCAAAGCTCATGCATACATGTGCCCACTCACCACCCACACTGACAACAGAGAAATATGTAAACTGGTATGTTATAAACTTACAACACAGAGGACACACTTCATATGCTACTGAACTAGATAGAAGCTAGCATTCACATGTCCACTGCAACTGAGTAACACAGCCACAACCTGTGGGTGTGTGTGTGTGTGTGTGTGTGTGTAGGGGGTGCAATGGCCACTGTGGGCGTGGGGCTGGCGTACCATCAAGAGCTCTGCAGTCACCTTCACTGGGACCCTCCATGCATCTGAAAGAGAAAGATGCCATTTACCATAATGGAATATTCACATCAACCTACTGCAAGCCCTTCCTAGGCAGGGAACCTGAACACACGGGGCTTGTCCACAACACTCATTCGGGGCAAATGTAGCTAGGCTACTGTAGCTCAGGTTTCTAGGACAGGTAAGGTAAGCAAGGCTGATGCTTCACACACCGTGATTCACCAAGGGTACAGACTGTGTGCCAGGTCCCATTCTAGGAAGACTGCAGTTATGATGAGCAGTGCCATCAGGACCCACAACGGCCAATACACAGGTGCTGAACACAGGGAGCAGCTTGTAGCCAGATACGCAGAGAAGTCTCTGTAAGGCCCAGGCAGAACAGCTGCATAGAAAACCCCTCTCCTGATGAAAGTCTTCTAAATCAAACTGGGCTTCTCGGGGCGGTCAAAACACAACCTGGGTAATGTTCAATTCTCCAAGACAGAGTTAAAACCCAGTGTTGTATTACACATACTACACAGACATGAATAAAAGATTAAAAAAAAAAAAACAAAAACAAAAAGAGCTGTGCTGCATCGTATGTCCCTATCTTCCATGGGACAGTCCTCCCCGAGGAGTTGTATAGCATCAAATGGCTGACCACACAAGGCAGGCCACCAAAGAGTGACAGCAAGTCCCTAAAACCTGACAGTGCAAAGAAGGAATCGCCCTGAGGAGAAAACAGGGTGTGCTCCCAGCTCGAAATGCTTCTCAGACAAAAACCCAGCACCCGAAGCAGGGGGAGGGAGTAGGGATGTGCAGAAGGGAACTAAAGGAAGCAGGTGGTGTGAACGGTTTTGGTAGCACATGAGCCATCACTGACCTAAAAGACTCAAGACCAAGTGTGGAGTGGGCGCAAAGGGGTCCGGGAGGTTGAAGGCGGTGTACCGGCTGTACTGCACTTGCCGCAGGGCCTCGAAGTTTCCCAGCAGAATGTCCCCCAGCCACTGTGCATTCACACATGGGATCCTCCACTCTTTGGCCTTCTCGTACTTCAAACCACTCGGTCTTTTAGGTGAGAAATCACATTCATTCAGTTAGTGTCATCTTACCATGAATTTTTTTGTCTACTTTCAACAAAAGCCAATTAAAAATAAAAAATAAAAAATAAAAAAACAACTAATAAAGTGGCAGGCATATTTTAGCAAAGCTGCCAGCAATCCAAACTGTAGGCCAAAGGTAGTTAACCCCACCAGTCTGCAACTGGGTCAGTATCTGACTTTAACCCTATTCCAGGTCTTTAAATTCTTTAGTTCACACTCTGTTATTTCACCCATTCACCAAGTGAAGCCTCTTACAGATGTTTCTGACAGTACCATGAACAGTTATGCCTCTTTAAAAAAAACAGTGACAAAGACTGTTGTTTATTAAGAAAGAATGACAGGCCAGGCATGGTGGTGCACACCTTTAATCCCAGCACCAGGGAGGCAGAGGCAGGCGGATCTCTGTGAGTCTGAGGCCAGCCTGGTCTACACAGTGAGTTCCAGGACTGTCAGGACTACTTAGAGAGCCCATTTCAAACAACAATGAGAAAAGAAAGAATAAAAGGCACTCCTGCGCGAAAGTGGGCTAGTAGTGAGCTGGGAAGACAGACAATCAAGGCTTTGTGTCATTCTTCCATGTACTTCTACACTTGAAATTCACACAAGCTACAATGTATTAAGAAATGACTGCTGCCAGGCATAGTAATGCATGCCTAAGATCCCAGATTTGGAGCTGGAGGCTCTCTACAAGTTTGAGACCAGCCTGGCTTACAAGAGGCCACGCCTCCCCCAGACGAACTAAATCACCAAACAGGATGAAAACAGCTTCTAAGCCCAGCTTACTCTTTACAGATGAGGACAGTGTTGCTACGGCACAGGTAACCTGTGTACTTGGCACCTGCCAGGTACGTCATTAACTTCAGGTCATCTCTGTCATTGTCAACAAATCCAGTCACAGAGATAATCTGGGGAGAAAGAGCAAATGAGATATAAACACAAAGTGGCTTTGATTAGACTTTCTCATGCTCCTATGGCATTAGGGGATGTATCTGGCACTGTCATTCCCGAGAACATCATGAGAATAACTTCACTGACAGAACATGAAGCATACAGCATCTCTGTGGCAAGAAGAGAGGAGGAGCCGCACTCACAGGGGAGAATTTTAGTATCTGTGCAACGCTGCTCAGGTAATTGCAGGTTACTGTGCTGAGCACACACACAAAGGTCTTTATTTTCCTCACTCGTCCAGACTCTGGGTCATTGGGCCGCAAGTACCCACAAGTACTGACCACATTTGCCTCCTCCTAGGACTTGGAGTATCAATGAGGTAAAAATTACATGCCTTGTGCCATTGCTATGGTGGCCAAGGCACACAGAGAAGAGGGTGAAAATCACCCAGGAGTCTGGGGCAGAACCGTGGAAAGACAAGCAGGAGAGGGGACGGGCCTCACATGCTGTGAACAGGGTTTGCCCCCGGGTGGAAATGCCACAGGGAAATGCAGGGCTCGATGGGGCGGCACCAGTTTCTTCTTCTTCAGGACTGTGTTGAGCCAGTGAGCAGTGACACACCGCTTCCTCTCCCGTAGCGCCTGGCAAACAAAACAACTGTCATGTTGTAGTCTCGGGCTCTTTGCTATAGAACCAGGGAGAAAACGGTTGGCTTGCATAAGACAGAGCCACCTTCCCAGAACCAGTAAATCAAACAGATAACCTACAGCAGGTCTGAGGCTTCTGGCCACTGGGGCACCTACATACACTTCATGCACTCACAAAGAAATATATATATATACACATGATTGAATTTAAACCTTAAAGAAAAACTAGCCAGAAATGACACAACACTATCTCCCTACAAAGAGAAACACCCCTAGCCCCTGCATACAAAGCATGTACATATAACACACTCCTAAACTTAACCACAGATGAAGCTCACAGTCCAAAGTGGGACAGTCAACAGTACCTAACAACATGCTTCTAAAGTCGCTGTCACATACACAGGAGCGCTAAACCTATCTGTCAACTACCACGAACACTTTTACAGAAAGAGAACGAAAACCTCAGGGTAAGGAGGTGATCCTAGGACGAGCTTAGTCAGGGTTTACTGTTGCCCTCTCAGGGCTTCTTACCCCCAGAAGCTCTTGCATGCAAAACCCCAGAAGGCACCAAGTTCCATCCTGAGGGTCATCTGGATGGTGACTAGGAGGACCTGCCCTTTCCCCTCTACCTGGAGCTTCTTCTTCCCTCTCTATTGCCCAAAGCTGACCACAATAGTATCTAACCCAACAAAGTGGCTTCCTTATTTTTGGCGGCAGGAAACTATTCTCTGGAAGATTATAAGCACTGTGAGGATGCAGCAGCTCACTTGTCTAACATGCATGAGGTCCTTAGTCTGATTCCCAGCACCACAAAAAGCTGTGTGCCTCTACCACTCAAGGGATAAAGATGAAGGAATCATAGGTTTAAGGTTGTCCTCTGCTGCACACTTAGGTCAAGGCCAGCGTGGGTCACATGACACTGTTCCACAAACATATTATGCCCTTGCTTCTAAAGTTGCACACAACAATGCCACTGCCTCCCATCCCAGTCAGTGGCCAGTTCCTTCTTACCTGTGCATACATACTACTGACTTGGCTCTCGCAGAGGAGGTGTGTGCATCGGCTTGTGAACGTGGGGTCTACAGTGCCACCATGAGCCTGGATTACCTACACAAAAGATGTAGCCAAACATGCCATCAGTTCCAGTTATTCTGGATACTACAGAATTGTGATTTTAACTCAGACAATTATGAAGAGAAGCCAGGCTACACTGGCATGGCCCATTCATCATAGAATAAGCAGTACCTCATGGCAACATTCACATACCAGTCACAGAAACTTCCCCCACCATTCAAGACTAACACTGCTACTCAGTTATTTCACAGGAAGTGGAAGGCAACATTCTTACTTAAAATTGACATTTTGATCAGCAGTGTATGGGGAAACTACCTGGGTGGTGCAAGGTGTCCAGTGATCACCCTGACTTATCACTGGGGTGTCTCCTCTAACTACCAAATGCTCCCAGAGCAGATCCACTGTCCTTACAAACCTTCACACTGTGACAGACAGCCACATCAGAATGTAGTGTGTCAAAACTACATTCGAGGGGCTGGCGATGCCTCAGAGAGACGAATGAGTACTGCTCACCCAGAGAACTCAAGCTCATTTCCCAGCTCCCATGCATCTGCCCGCATCTCTAGCTTCAGGGGATACAATGTCCCAAGATTCAGAGGGCACTGTGTGTGCACACATACACATATTTGAAACATATATGAAAACTGATTCCAGTTTTGGAATGTTGGTTATATACCCTAGATATCTGCCAAAAGCCATCACCATTTGAACATTCCTGCAATATAACATCAACACTGGTCTCAATAAGATTTTAGTTTTACTTGCCACTCTGAAATACAGTGTTTATTTTATTTATTTTTTTTTTTTTAGCTTAGCTTCCAGGCCATGTGAGAAAGCCAGCAGTCCCCGCCTTCACTGGCTTCCTACCATCTACTGTGTCCTCTGATAATTACTAATATATTCTAACTCACACAACACTGCTTTCTGATCTTAAACATTATCTACTGACCTTCCTATGTGACCGCCACGTCATCCAGGTGGCTTCCCACGGTACCCTAGCCAAATGTTCCCTATGTGTAAGTTTTGTTTCCTGGTGCTGACCACTGCTCACCCCACACTCCACACCTGCTGTCTTGAAAGTATCCAATCTTACTCCCACACTCCATAGAAACGTGTGTGAAGTGTGTCCTCAGATCACATATCCTCTCGTAAGCCTTGGGGCCTCCTCCTGGCAGCCAGGGACTCCTCCACATCCTGCTCTTGAGACAGAAGGGAAGGAGCCAGCTGCTGCACTGTGGCCACTCAAACAGCTGGAATGCTCCATATGGTGAAGTCTTGGCTAGTCCAGGGCATGGCAAGCACTCCTGCAAGCAACTGAGTCACTGTAAACCAAGCCATCTCAGGAGTCTTACCCAGGAGGGAACTGGAACCTGCATGGGTTCCTCAGCAAGAGCAAGCAATCTCCTCACCTGCCTTGCTCACCTACCAACTCTTAGGTTCTGTTTTCACATCCACCTGAAGTTCCCTTCATGCTCACCCAAGGAACTCCTTTGTCATACAGAGTTAAATCCTATTTCTTGGCTGCCACGAACCCCTTTGCTGGACCAGTGGCTCCCAGGTGGGGTGTGGGGAGGTGAGCACTCTGACAGGGACTCATCCTCACTCTGCAGCGGCATTCATCTGATGGACAGGCTGTATGCTATTCAAATCAGAAATCAACACTCTCAACCAATGCTGGCCCTACACCCTACGCTGAGCCCTAGACCTGTCCTGGCCCTGACCTCGCAGTCTCCCTACTAGTTTTGCAAGTGCCCTGAACTGCCCCTGCAACACTGCTCTCCCTCTGTTTAGTCTGCCCATGAATCCAGCTACAAGCTCTCTTCCCTTCTCTGTCCCAACTCTCATTATGTAGCATTGCAGGACTGGGAGTTAGCGCAGTGGTGAAGCACTTACTTCTCAGAGGAAAACAAGGTTAATCTGCAGCTCAGGAGAAAAAAGGTAAAAATCAGAAAAAGACTAAAACTAAAGCAAGACACCTGTGCTGCTGCCCTCTGTCTAAACTGACTAGGAGTATTGGCTTAGCTGGCAAGGCTGTCAAACACAGAAGAGGCCCTGGGCTGAGTCCCCAGCCCCGCAGACAGAAAGTGGGTGTGGTGGCGGTGGCACATGCCTGTAATCCCAAGTGATTGCAAGAAGTTAAGTTATTCAAGGTCATCCCTGGAGTGCAAGGACAGCTTCTGGAGAGACCCTGCCTCACACAAGCATATGAAGCACACACTTTACTGTTTCATGATCTTTGACGCCAGTTCTACCTTTTCATGAAGCCTCTCAATACCCTATCCCACGGCTCCCAATTCTCCCTAGTTTTCTGCCACTGCAGCCCCCAGACACCCTCTGGCTCCCCAGCCCTATCCTCACTCCTTCATCCTCCTGGGGAGCCCAAAGTCTCCTTAGCACACAACACAGAATCCACTCCACTCATGCACCCCTTTTCTATACAGCTTGTAAGGATAATCCAAATTCTATCTCATAGCACCTAATAAAAGAATGATGTACTGGAAGACAGACAACCCTCCCCTTTGCCCTCCTTCACTCAAGAACTGCCCAGGACTAGACTTGACGGCAGTCCCCATCAGTGTCACAGGTACATCGTCATTAGGCTGCTCTGTCTGCATCACCCCCTCATCCCTGCTCTAACTCCTCCCATGGACACACTCTCATGATCACCTCTACCAGGCTCCTGCATGCCCTGGGCCTTCTCTACCCACACCACCACAACGCTTGCCTCTGTCCCGTTGGCTTGCCTAGCCTCTGCCAATTCAACATTGCCCAGTCTTGCAGCATCGGCACCTGGCAGAGGTCTAAGCACAGGAGGAATGCTTATAGGGAAGAACACTAGGTATGGTTTTTATATAATGGGGTGGGGGTGCTCCATTCTGATTTGAAGCATGATTAGAAGAAAAACTTTCCAAACTTTTCTTTTAAAGGCACCATAAACAATAATGAGTAAATAACTATGTGTACTATCATTCCACAATTACACCAGAAAACAGTTACAAATTACCATTAGCCCTGAAGAAATTTTAAGAACCATGAAGCCCAACCCTCCACCTAGCACCTAAGTGACAAAAGTCCGGAAAGGATGGGGCCTCTCACAGAGCACAGCACTGATGACAACATTCACAGTACCAGAGTGCACACACAGACCTCATTGCATGAGGCTAGCCAACCAGGTAGCCAGCCTGCACCCTTCAAGCACTCAGTCCCCCCCCTCCCCCCGCGGCTTCCCCAGCTCACCCTTTTCCAGGTGGCCAGCAGCTGCTTATCCGACATCTGCTCTGGATAGTCCGCAATTGCAAACACACATCCTAGCAAGAAGCCTTCTTCTGGAACTAGAGTGACAGACGAACAGAAATTAAAAGTGTATTTTGATGAGTTCAACTACATTTAAAATGCTGCTACAAATCTACTAATCTATATTCAAAACCAGCATTAAAAACAAGACATAATTCAGGTCTAAGCACTAAAATCCTCAGCATTTCTCTCTGAGGCAGTCTGGACACCCTGTGAACACTGACCCTCACTGCAGTGTGTGCAGAGTACAAAGAACGCTAATTATCTCACTGCATGACAGGTATGAGACTCACAGTCTGATTATTTGATAGGTGCCATACTCTGGGAGCACTTATGCAAGCTTGTAACTTATGGGAAAATAGGAACCAGTACTAACTCTCCACTGCTGGGTCATGTCCAAAAAGCTGCTGCTGCTGTTGCTGCTGCTGAGGTGGGGGCTGCAGGGGCAGCTGCAGGGGCTGCTGGGGTGGAACCTGGTGCTGTAGTGCCTGGGGTGTTTGGCTCAAGTGTGCTGCTTGATTCTGCATCTGCTGCTGCTGCTGCTGGTGTAGGCGCTGGAGCTGCTGCTGCTGCTGGAGAAGGTTGTGCTGTTGTTGTTGTTGCTGCTGCTGTTGCTGCTGCTGCTGCTGGAGGTGTGCTAACTGGTGTTGCTGTAGCTGCTGCTGCTGCAGCTGATGAAGCTGCTGCTGCATGGCATGCTGCTGCTGAAATGGCTGCAGCTGCTGTTGAGGGCGATGCAGCTGCTGCTGAGGGTGTAACGGTTGCTGTGGAAACTGGAGCTGCTGCTGAGAAAACTGATGCTGATGGACTTGCTGAGGGAACTGATGTGATGGCGGCTGGGGGTAAGGCTGTGGCTGTGGCTGTGGCTGCTGCTGCTGCTGCTGCTGCTGCTGGAGCTGCATGATCTGGGGCTGAAGATGCAGGACTGGGTGCTGCTGCGGTGGCTGCTGGGGAGGATGGTGTTGCTGCAACACGTGTGACTCGGGAGCGCCTTTAGACTGGCCAAATAGCACAGCACTGGCAGTGGGGTGTCCCTGTTGGCCATGCGCCACCTGCTGCTCTAGGTTTTTTGTGGGTGCTGAAAGGGACTGTAAGATCTAGAAAACAAAAGGAGGGCCAAGTCACTACCAATAATTGCTGAGAGGCACTACCCGCTCACAGGCAAGTAAAAGTGCATCCATGCAGCTGATACACTGAACTGCTACCTAACGGGGACCAGACAGCAACACCACACTGCTCTCATGTACTTTGTATTCAACATCCAGAGAGCAGGACGCTGTATTATAAAACAGAAAATGAGCTAACAAACACCGTGGCTTCGAAATGCTCAGCAGGTGAAGTGCTTGCCCCCCAAGCCTGGCAACCAGAATCTAAGCCCTGGAACACACTGCTGCACAGAGACAACCAATTCCCCAAAGTTGTCTCACACACCAAGCCCCATCCCTACCCCCCCCCCACACACACACAGGGCTGCTGCATCTTCAAGAACAGAAACAGGAAACAAACAAACAAATAAATAACGGCAGTATTTGGTTCTGTTTGGTTCTGCTTGGCTCTGAGCAGGCTGGGCTACCAGGAATGAGGCACTCTCCAGGGCAACGCCTTCCCTCCATACCACAGTCTGCTTCCGGCCATCTAGAGAGTGCTCTGGAAAATGGCAGCCTCAGTTCAAACCTCACACAGGAGCAAATATGTTCTACTTCCTCCTGCTTCTAGGAGTCACCTCCACTCAGATAATGGAGGGAGGGGGGTCTAAGCTTTACCACCAGAGCACTCAGACTGCAGCTCTGCCCAGCACAGCTCCTGTCCCTCCCTCACTGTACCCTGCTCTGGGCAGTGCATGTGACATGGAAGAGGGACAGATGGACTCTAGCAAAAGGCATGCTTAAAGGCAAATGTTAGCTGGACTTGATGGTATGGACCTGTAATTCCAGCACTTGGGATGTGGAGGCAAGAGCATCAAGAGTTCAAGGTCAGCCCTCGATATACAGGGAGTTCAAGGCTAGCCTGGGCTATACAATTCAGTATTCTCCAATAATAATAACATTATTAAGAGGAGGGAGGCCATGCTAACCTGACACCCTGAGGTGTCAGATCTCTAGACTTCATGTAAGAGCCAGGCACAGAAGTATATACATCTGTGATCATAATGTTCCTACAGGGAGAAAGGAGGCAGAAACTAGGGGTATAAGAAAGTCTAGCTACATCACAGTGAACCAGAGTACCTCGTCTCAAACATGGTGAAAGGCAAGGACTGACACTTAAAGTCTTGCTCTGACCGCCACATGAACATTGTCGTACAGGCATGCCCCTACACGTTTATGAACATACATACAAAGTTTTTTTTAAGCGAATGATATTCACTTTTGCAGCACTTATATTAAAACTAGAATGATACAGAGAAAATTAGCATGGCCCCTACACAAGAATGACACTCATATTCATGAAGAGGTCCCATAGTTTTTGGAAGGGGGAAAGCTTATGAGGCCTCAACCCTACAGAAAGAACTACAGTGCTTTTCCCAGGGAAGAGCACATCAACCGGTTATCCCATACCAAATGGTCAGCCCTAAAAACATATACATTTAAGTAACATACAGACTAAACAGGTTGTATTTATATATTCGAGAATACATGTGTGTGCACGTATGCATGTGCACACTCGAGAACACAGAGATACCTAACAATTAATGGAAAAGAAGTCATGGATTTGAAAGAGCAAGGAAGGGTATGAGAGAGGGTTTGGAGAAAAAAAAAAGGGGGGGAAATGATGTAATTATATTAAAATTTCAACAAAAAAAGCGGGTTCATAAAAGCAACCTTTCTTTTGTTTTGTACACAGATATATACCAGCACTAAGCAGCACTAAGAACAATGTTTAGAATGTCCAGTTGTTTAATAAATATGTCTTAAAAGAATCTTTCTTTAAAAAGCCAATGTTCTGCCTTCCTGAGAAATCATTACAGCTATTGACTATTCTTCCTCAAACAAGACTAAGCAACAGATGGGACAAATACAGAGACCACCTGCCACATAAATAGGCCAAAGCAGCCATCTGCCACACTGCTGTCCTCTGCACTATCAACCCTATCCAAAAATGACCCCAGAAGAGATGACGTAAGAGCAGCTGACAGGACAAGCATAGGGGAAATCTGCGGTCAGGCAACCCCCCTGTACCAACTCCTGGTTCTGAGAGAGCAGCACAATGCAGCAAACTTCGATGTCTATGTGGGAAGCTCATTTGATAAAAAAAGAAGCCCGGCAGTGGTGGCACATGCCTTTAATCCCAGCACTTGGGAGGCAGAGGCAGGCGATGGATCTCTGAGTTCGAGGCCAGCCAGGTCTAGAGTTCCAGCAGCCACAGCTACAGGGAAAGTCTGTCTCAAAAGAAAACAACGACAAAGGGGGCAGGAGAGTGCATGACATGTGGCTGCTTCTGCCCTGGGCTGAGAAGCAAAGGCGCATGGCTGACTCAGTCTGTCCAAGTTGAAACAATGGAGGGCCAGGAGAGCCTGGGCAGGCCTGAGAACGGTCGTTCGCATGGCGGGGACAACCACCAGAGCTCTGTGGTGCTCACAGCACCCTCCCGTTTCATGTATCTCAAGCTGAGAACATGGCAACCTGAGGAGCCCAAGGAAAAGAGTCCCAAGGACTTGACCATGTAACCATGCCACCTGTAAGCAGCAATTCTGAAGAGACAGCAACTTTGAATTTCCCCTTCTTCAAACTGCACTATCTGAGTTCCTGCCAGAATATAAAAAGCATTATGGTGCAAAGCACACAAGCCCTAGCTAGGACACACTTGCCATCAGACAGGAGTTTAACAAACACCTTCATCCCCTCCACCTTGATCAAACAATCATATTGAGTCTTCCTTGTCTAACATTCTGAAATGCATTTTCTGTACACAGTGGTAAGGACTCTCAGGAAGCGCCATAGAGACCTGAACCTACCTTTGCTGTTGCTAGCTGAGCTGGCTCCATTCTGGAGCCAGTGTCACTGGAGGACAGTGTCAGAGCAGTACCGGGCCCTCAGCTCAGTTCAGACATCAGTATATGTCTAAATCCAAAAAGAGTCAGGAATCCCCACACTTAAACCTCTATGTATGTGAATGCAGACAGCAGGGGAACAGTTGCTCACCAGACCCATTTAGTCTCTAGTATGTTTATTAAAGATTCATTTAGTTTTCCTTTATGTGAACAGTTGTTTTGCCCACACGTATGCCTGTGCAACATGTGGATGCAGTGGCTGCTGAGGTCGCAAAGGCTAGTAGATCTGTCCCCTGGTAATGGTGTTACACGGCCGTGAGGCACCACATAAGTCCCAGGAATCACACCCAGGTCCTCCACAAGAGCAGCCAGCGCTCTTAACCACTTAGCCATCTCTCCAGCCCCAAGCTGGTCAGCTTTTACCAGACCACCACCACCCAAAATTAAGCCTGAACTCCGGCCTGTATGGAGAATCTTGGAATCTGGGCAAATGCATTTTGCTATTTATTTTCACCAAGTCAAAAGGTGCCTATAAATGAACTATACACGTCAACACCTCCAACGATCACGGCCCAGGCTCTGTCTACCACAGGAACCATTCTCTCCACAGGGCCCCAGCTGGCCCCTTCTCTTTCCTCTGTCCAGCCTGGGCTCTCTCTTACTTCCCAGGTCTCATCAAAGCGGTGGTGGTCAACCTAAACTAGTGCTGGCCACACCCAGCACTACTGTCTCCAGGTCTCTGAATCAATCATCTTACAGTCTGTCCACCATTCTCCTCAGACCCAGTTAACCCTCTCCTGTCTATCTCAACTCAGCAGCTAGCTTTTTCCCTTCCCAACACCTAAAGGATGCCCAGAGTCACCCGGATCTGGCCTCCATCCCCTCCACTGTCTCTAGAATCCCAACTATCAGTATTCACTGCTCAAGTTACAGGCAGTTTTCTAAGCACCTCTAACCAACAGAGGCTTCCTTAAAGCCCTTGCCATAATCAAATCCAGCAAAATGATTCTTAATACCATCTCAACCCAGGCCATGCATAGTTGCCTATATCCACTCAAATGGCACCGGGTCCTGCCTCAGGTTGCTCCCACAGCTGAAAACTGTTAAAGAAAAAACAAAAACAAAAAAGGGCAAATCTGCCAGACCGGAGCAGCCACCACAGCAGCTCTTAAATGGGAGGGCTTCTGACTGCCCACGCCCAGCTGCTCCCAGCATGACCCGGAACTCTCCTCTTGTTTTCTCCTATCTCTTAAACAGTCTCATTGGCTGCAAAGCTAGAGATCATTGTGTTGGCAATTCCACTGACCTCCATACTTATCAGACATCTTCCTGCCCGCGCCATCACGCTCTCTCTCTCTCTCTCTCTCTCTCACACACACACACACACACACACACACACACACACACACACACGAGAAAGGGTATCTGGTTGTCACACCTGCAGCTCTTTCAATGCAGTCAAGTCTGTGCTCACTCACCAGGATCCTGTCTAGCACCATTTTCTAGCCTCTTTGGGGCTCTCCTGCTTCCCTCCTCTCCCACCCCTTTATAACCCTTCATACATCTGTCAGACATCAGCACACCCCTGCTCAAATCCTGTGAGGGCTTCCCAGAAAGGAAGCGCACACTCCTCCCTGGCCACCATGACAAAGCTCCTTGTCTGTCTCTCATGGACCCCTCACACCACGCAGCTCACTTCTTATCATGTTTTGAGGACAACAAACCCTTGCCCGCTTTGGGTTTTCACCAGGGACCCTGTCCCCAGTTCTACGCACAACCTTTAATTCAAGCCTGACATCACCACCTTCATAAGATCCTTCCTGCCATCAGTCTGATGACAGACTTTGACAGTGAAATACACAATAACATGAACCAGCAGGGACAACATTCAAAGATATGAGTATTTAGGAAACACACTGTGTTCGCTCCCTGGTTGACACAAATGGCTACGCTGCCAGGCCATGAGGCCTCATGGAGCTATTGGCAGGTATTTGGTTCCTTTCCTTGCTGGCCCAAATGTCACCATCTGCTTCGTGCCTGTTTAACATGGCTGCAAAGAAGTCCCCACAAAAATGGGACTCATAAGTAACCTGTTCTGAAGGGTGATGAAATCCCACTCTTGAACGCAGCCTTCAGCTTCCTGAGACTTACGTGTGCAACATTGGAGGGTCGGCTGATCTGCTGGATGTCCGCGTTGTTTGTGATGTTTCGCAACGTCCGGACGGCTGGGCTCCAGGTCCCTAGCATTTCTGATCGCTCAGAACCCTGGAGGTTTTGTCCAGCAGCCATCAAGTTACCCCGAATGTCAGGAGGCAGGATGTCCCCGGGGACAGGTGGAACATTGGCACACAGGTTAATAAGTCCTGGTCCTTTTCCCTGAGGCAGCCTACGCTGGGCCGTGGTGAGTGGTGGGGCTTCAGCAGGGGCCCAGTTCAAGCTCCGCTCCTGCTTTTCGGGGGATGAATCAGAAGAGTCATCAAACATTAACTCCCCTTTGGGCACCTCAGCTCTGGGCTTGGGAGAGAACTGTTGGTCAACAGGAGAGGCTTCTGGAGAGCTGGCGGCACTCGACTTCTCCTCAGTGCTGCCCTCGTTCTGAGAGTCCTGCTCCTCGTTGTCTCCCTCCTCCTCCTCTTCCTCCTCATAGATGATCAGACGCGGATGATAAAAGGCTTCATCCTTCCTGCTCTTCTCAGACACGCAGTCCAGGACCCAGTCAGGGGTGACAATCTTAATACTTGCTCTCTTGACAGCACGCTCGTATTTCTCCTATTAGTGAAGCATAAACACATACTAAATGATGCTGCTTCCTCTCATCCTATAATCACAGATTCGAGGAGGGACTTTTAAGTGGGATAAAGATGCAGAGCTGCTGATGTCCTGCCATGCTTTCCAGAGGCAAACCCATGCCTGTACCTGTGAGCTAGAGCTGTCAAAGGCACAGGAAGGGGTTGTGACCACAGCAGGAACCTTACAAGACTTGGTTATAGGTGATGTTTAAAGTACATCCCGAGAACTAGGAATCTCATGGAAAATGATAAAGTGAAGACCTGAAATCTATTTATATACACTAATGCTTCTTTCAGAGCCAGCTGTCCAAAACAGGCAGACATTCACTAAGGGAACTTTGGGAAGTGCCTTCAAGTCAATATAACAAGAATGGTGCCCGGGATATAGCTAACCCCCACACACACCCCAAAAAACAGAAGTTAAACATACAGTAAGAATAAAACTTAGAACCAGCACTAAGTGACAAGGTGTAGTTTCAGTATTAACTGCCAACTTGCACCTAGGAGTAGGCCTCTGGGCTCCTCTGGAAAGACCTATTAATTGTGGGTGAGGCGATATCCGAACAGTGATGGGAAGGGTAAGTTGAGTGCTGACTCGGATGCACTCACTGCTCCCTTCTTCTGACTGTGAACAGCTCCCTCAAGCTCCTGTGTAAGGATCAGAATAAACAAATAGGCCGAACAGATGTTTATTCAGGGAGAAATAACTTACAACCTAGACAGATGAACACCAGGAAATTCAACCCAATGCTCTCCTGTCCGAGTCCCGCCAGCAAGAGAGCTTTTCCCAGCTCTCCCTCCGACCTCCTTCCACAGGTCACTTCCGCCCATGGCTCCACTCCCCAATGGGCGTGGTCAGTGCCACAGAAGGACTATCTCACTACAATCCCTGCCACGATGGAGTTTCTCCCTCAAGCTACTGTGACTGTGACAGGTGGTAGTGAGGGATGAAGGCATTTGGTCTGTTCCTGGGGCAGGGCAGCGCTGTTTGCCGTCCTGTTATGCACATACATATTCAGAGCAAAGCCACTGAAACCAACTCCCATTGCTAGCTGTGGCCTTTCGCCATTGTGATCCCAGACCTGCTCATTTTCCTTTGCTTAGCTGTTATCTTCTTTGTTTGAGACAGGGTCTCACTATGTAGCCTTGGCTGATATCCATGATAGAATGCTGGTACCTTTGTTTCTGATTATTTTCCTCCCCACTGCTGAGGACAGAACCTAGGGCCTCAAGCATGTGAGGCAAGCACTCACCACAGCCCAGTGTAGAATAAGCTACATCCGCAACAACACCAGAAGGTATGAACCAATCCCCTTGCTGATTGCCCAACATGCTGTAGGAACCCAACACACAAACCCAGGTCCTCTAGAAGAACCGCAAGCGTGCTTACAAACTACTGAGCCATCTCTCCAGCCTTCAGATAATCAATGAGTAAGTAAATAAATATTACAGGATGAAATCCAAGACTTAATATTTGACAAACCCACCTTATTCATGTTATTTCCTCTTAAAGTCATAATATAACTTATAATCACACATCTTTTATGACAGAAACTAATATTAGCGGCTTTTGTAAACAGAATCTAGTCATTACAAAGAGCTTCTTGGAAAACACTTGACTCTTATGCATGTCACGGAAGAGGGTACATTTGAAGTGCTTACCCCCTTTGGCTCTGGAACAATCAAGTGTGTGCACTTCTTGTTGAGGTTCAGCTGGCAATTGCCCCCGTGGAACGTGATCAAGGCCCACAGGGCACTTCTGTCCTCAGACGACACCTGGTAGAAATGAGAACATGACTTCACTAGATAGTCAACCATGCCTCTGTCTGCACTTTATTACATGGTGGTGTTCACACGGGTCATTCAGCGGTGGCTTCCTCAGTCATCTGGCCACAGCACGCCGGTAAGAAAATAAGAGCAGCACTCGGCCATCCTGCTACTCCTAGCAGCTTCACAGGTAAGAAGCCTTTTGCCATGTCACCAGCTGAGCAAAACTTAGTACCACCCTGGGCTACGGGAGTAGGTGCGTGGTAGAGCTTGCCTTGCATATACAAGAACTTGGGTTAGATCCCAAGAACCACAAAATAATTTTTCAAACTTCCCATCCACGGCTGAAGAGATGGCTCACTAATTAAGAACACTGACTGCTCTTCCAGTGGACCAGGGTTCAATTCCCAGCACCCACATAGCAGCTCACAACCACCTATAACTCTAGTACCAGGAAATCTAACACCTTCTTCTGGTCTTCCTGGGCCTTGCACGCATGTGGTGCAGACAAAGACATACAAGCAGGCAAAACACACCTACATATAAAATAAAAATAAATAAATCTTTTTAAAGTTCCATCCACACCCCAAAGGCTGAGTAGATTTTGGTCTATAACAAAAATGATACAAACAACTAAAAAGGGAAGAAAGGTTTCATTTTCTATCATTTCTGAAAATGTTCAAACATCAAAATCATGCTTATAGAAGCCAGTGAGATGACTTAATGGGTAAAGCACTTGTCATGCAAGCTTGATGACCCAAGTTCCATTCCAGGAACCTACATAACAGCAAGATAACCAACTTCACAAAACTCCCCTTTGACACTTGACCCCTTTGAAAAAAGTCAATCATAAAACTTTCAAATCATAATTACAAAGAATTCCTTCAAAATTAGTAACAATTATTAATTATGACAAGGATAAAATTACAGGACGAAAATACAGTGAGTAGAAAACCAGAGAGAAAACAAACATCCCATGGAAAAAGCCTCAAGCAGGCGGAGACGCCAAAGACCTTAGACTTGAGAGCTGCAAGACTCCAGAACTGTCTCCCAGCCCACTACTGCCTGCTCTCCGTGCCAGAAACTGTCACATGCGTCTCACACGAACCTGACTATGACCGTGGCACACAGAAGTTGCCACCAACCCCAGAGACATTTGGGAACTGTGAACACTGGCACCTGGCACCCCTGTATGAAGGCCCAGTCACACACACACACACACACACACACACAGTCAGCAGCTTCTCTAAGGCGGGACCTCTGGGAAAGGGCAACTCACTTTTAAAGGATAAAATTTAGTCTGAAAAGCAAAAGAAACACTTAAGAAATGTAATGCAGCATTCACCTTAAGAGAATTACACAAGCATGGGAATCTTTTCTGGATTAATGTACTGTAAGTTGAAGGTTATGGGTGTTAAAGAAGCCTGGGTTTGTCTCTACATTTGCTTACAGTCCTGACTTCTTAATGCCAGCATGAGGCTCCCATGGACCCAGACTTGTACAGCCACTCCTAGGGGCTATTCTGTATTCCTCACTACTCTACATGTGAGCTTCCTAAAGCCATTTTCAAATCAGAACCCGACCAGTCTATTCTATTAGTGGTTTCCTGCAGCACCTGTAGAATGAGGTTTAATTATCTGACAAAAGACTGAGCCAATGCCTCACTATGCAATCTTAATTTAAAATGAGTGTAAAACCTAGTCTAGTTGCAGCTTTACCACTTGAGTGGACATGTCAGAAAGGACAGACAGCTTCTTTACCAGCTACGATAACTGGCCCATACTGTGCACGCCCTGCCCCCCCCATACCTCACTCTCACTGGGAAGGGCGCATAACGCCCCTGTGAAGAGTACCAGGCAGGGGAGAACACAGGAGAACCGGGTCACTATCTCTGACAAGTAGCCCATCAACTCAGAGCAAACACCCACTGCAGTTAGGCCTCTGCAGCAGTGACACTGGACTCCACACCCTCACGCCAGCAACTGTCACCTCCTGGTCAAAGGATATGGGAGTACTTTCATACTTTTCTGTAGTCTCCGAATTTTCAAAAGCCATCTCTTTAAATGGGGAAAAGTACTTTTCTTTTTTAAAAGCCATCTTTCTGAAGTCACATTGGTTCCAATGTTCTGCTGCCTCCTCCCAGTGTCAAGCTGAATCCCAGCTCTCCAGCATGGGACCAAGGCAGCTTAGCCTGCCTGGTTCCTTGCCACCACACCTAAATGCCACTGCCAACACACTAAACCATCTATGTGCCAATCCCTCCTCCTGGTATCATTCTACCAAACCCCTGGCAAGCAGCGTAAGTATGAGCACTCACCAGACTCCAAAAATCTGCTTTCTTGTCCCACTCTCCTCCCAGGATAGAATTCCCTGACTCCCCAAAAGACTTGCTTCTCTACTCCAACCAGCACCCTTCTCGGCTAGGCATGGTGGTGCATGCCTGTAACCCCCCATCTGGGAAATGGAGACAGAAATTCAAGGCTATGTTTAGTGTCTTACTTTTCTACTGTTATGAAGAGACACTGCGATCAAGGCAGCACTCAACTGGCAGCTTGCTTACACTCTCAGAGTCCGTGACTATCATGGAGAACGTGACAGCAAGCAGGCGGGCACCGCGCTGAAGCAGTAGCTGGGAGCTCACATCTATCCACAAGCACAAGGCAGAAAGAGACTGGCTCTGGTGGACTTCTCAGACCTCAGAGCCCATCCCTAGTCACACACCTCCTCTAAAAAAGGACACGCTTCCTAACCCTTCCCAAACAGTTCCACCAACTGAGGAGCAAATATTCAAATATATGCGGCCATGAAGGTCATTCCCATTCAAACCACCACACTTAGCTACACAGAAAATCTGAGGTTAAACTCGACTATATGTTTGGACTGTCTCAAACAATAATAATTTGACAGAGAGAACACAGCACCCTCCCCTCCTCATTTCCACACACAGGGAAGAAGGCCCATGATTCCAGCTTCCATGTTCCCCTCCCTCAGCCAGCTAACACTACTTACTGAAGGAGCCCCACCATATGATGTAAGCCCTGAGCTGATCTGCTACCTCTCACAGAGCCCAGTACAGCCAAGACTGACTGACATGGAACTATAAGGGTGTCCACTTCCAGCCTTCTCAACCTGCGTCACACCTGGCCAGACTCTCCATCAGGCTCCTGCCTTCCTTCCCAAGGCCTGCCCAGCACACTACAGAGCCCGCTGCCTGCAACAATGCAAGCACCAAGGAGATGACTTCTGCGGGCAGGAGCCTTCTTCCCCACTGTCCCTGGAAGGCTCCAAAAAGGAATGCCAGCTCTTCCCCAACACCCCAACAAGAAAAGACAGAGGCCCATGGACAGAGGCCTTGGCTCAGGTGGCCATGCCTGGGTATGTGAGGGCATGGGTTCATACAGTTATTGTTGAAGGGGTGCCAAGCCTTGTGTGCCATGCAGGGCAGAACCTAACCACGAGGACAGCTCCTTGTGCTGTCCCCACACCTGCACTATGTGATACAGCATGTGTCTGGCCATGTGCAGCCTGTCATTTCCTGAGGGATGAGTTATACTGTAATTAATGTGTACCCCAAGTCCCTGAGCTTCACATTGTATGTATGTTAACATAGCTTTAAGCAAATTAATATTTTTAGCAACCATAAAATATTGTTTACAGTGTACACTGTAAGCTAACAGTTGCAGGGTTTCTTTAAAATAGCTAAACAACCCATCCCTTTCTTAAAGAAGTGCTTGTGTCAGGAGTGGTGTTAGAGTCTCTGAACGTTCAAGGCTAGCCTGATTTATATAGTGAATTCCAACACTACATCGGGAGACCCTGTCTCAAAAACAAAAAAAAAAAGTGTTTTACCTCCCAGTACACACTGGGTTTTCAACTATGTTCAGTAAATGACTAATGTGACAGACGTATGCAGTAAGAGATCTATAAAGATCTACTGCTTCTGAGTTTGGTTTTTCCTACTCAATGAACTTGCTGAAGGATGTATGATCCTGTCATGACCTTGAGAATACAGATTAGCCTCCAGAAAAATCTCTGTCTCTGGAGCCCCACAAATGATACCACCCACCTCTCAGTGTTGAGACAGACATGCTGTGGCCACAGCCCCTCGCCTCATCGCTTCTTCATGGGTACCCTCCCCATCCCCCAGGCTGACCACCCTAGGTGCCCACAGCCCAGATTTCCAAGACCAAGTAGAGGCCTGTGTAGCTCTTTGGCTTCAAGGCCCTGGCTTAACCTTGCCACCTTTTCTCCCAATTCTGGACCACAGAACTAGAGCAAAGGAACACACAAAACCGTCATTGCAAACTCATGCTGATCCTTTCCCAGAAAGCAGCTGTTCCCAGGAAAACAAGCAAAAACGGTAGCATCCAATCCACTCTTCTGACTTTGTCTGCTCCTAACCAGCACCTTGCCTGCCCAAAACCCTTTCCAAGTACGTTCAATCCCTGTTTCTGCAGGTCTTACCCAAGGTCAGGCCCCTGCTACCTCTCCCCTATGCTGACCAACTCCCATCATGCCACGTGTCCTCCAAGTTGCTCTGTGTGGACTACTCATGGATGACCCAAGCCTCACTGCACAGCAGCATACTCTCATCCCTTATCCACCGAGCTCTACTTGATTTCCCATGCCCCAAGCCTGACCTGAAGGCATGAGGCACGGACCCCATGGCACAGCACTGACAAGCCCTGGGACCTGTGAGGTTCTCCATACTGCTAGGGTCCATGCTCCATCTGTGAACTTGGATCCCAGTCTTCATCTCCGTTCTCAGCAGGTGTAAAATTCTAATATCCACCTTGACCCTCATCATGCCCACAGTTACCAGACAAAATTCCCCAGTACCAGTCTGTCACTTTAATCTCATTTCCAAAGTTTCTAATGTGAATGTTTATGATCCAGAATTAAATATGTAGCTAAAATAGTGAGGGCTTCTTTCCCAAGCCCAAACTCCAAGAGCTATCCCATAGTCTTCACTGACCTCCCTTGCTCACCCAGCCCTGCCTTCCCCCAGCACCAAGCAAAACAACATGGCTTAAAGGCCTTCTGGACCCAGCCCCATCTTCTTTCAACCTACTCCACACCAGTCCCACTCGGGTCACACTATCAAAGTGTGCCTCCCCTCTAAGCCAAACACCCTCCTTTCTAAAGTGGAATCACACCTGGACCTGTGTGTGGCATGTATGCTCTAACCCCATGTATGCATTCCATGCCACTCATTACATCTACCATCACTGTTAATGTTAACTACTAGTCTGAAAGCAAAAGTGTTCTCTCACTTTACTAAACTCGGGTTAATATTTACTATCTAGTTAGCTCACTTAAAACCTTTTAACCAGCCAGGTGGAGTGATTCCCGCCTTTAATCTCAGCATTTGGGAGGCAGGTGGATCTCTGTGAGTTCGAGGCAAGTTCCAGGGCATTCAGAGCTACACAGAGAAATCCTGTCTTGAAAAACTAAAGAAAAAAAAATTCTATAATCATCTTATACTTTGGCTTTCTTGTTTCCCCAAGTCAAAGCTACTGAGCCTTGCATCTCTGTCCTCCCCATCCCTACTCAGCCCAGCCTTCTGCTTTCTCGGAGTCTGAACCCTTCTGGCAGAGACAAAGCCTACGGATCCCAGAAGCCCAATGGCTGCCAGAGTAAGGAAGGGAGACACACACTGCAGGTGAAGGGCACAGTGCTATGCAGAGACAGAGACACAGAAAGATGGCCTCACTTCCCATTTGTCTGTGTTGAGCACACATCTAGAGAGCACAGAGATTGTATGGCAAATAGTAGAGGCTGCAGATACCCAGAACCCCATACTTACAAGTTTGTACATTAACCAAAATTTAAGGCTATCCTCATGTAAACATAAAAATATACAGAAAGGGGGGCACTAAAAAACAAAGTAAAAAAAAAAAAAAAAATACAAATCTCAACAAATTCCTGTTCAAAGAAATAAAGGGGTGACTTTAATGATCTGCATCAAACTGACATAGCAGAACAAAAGGAACCCTTTATAATTCCACAGCATTTCTAGAATTTATAAGACAGAAAAGAACAAAAACTCCAGATAAACTTACTTACTCATTGCCTGGACAAAGGAGGGGTCACTCAGACTGGCAACATCATGTGTTAAAGGTTAAGTCTAGCCAACAACCTAACAATGGTAACCCAACACTCCCTGGTTCCCGACCTGGGCAATGCTGAGGGAAGAGGAGACAATGGCCAAGTCCTCCCCAGCTCACAAACACCCTGCTCTGCTCCTTTCTCAGAGGCCTGAAGGAAGGACAGGCCAGCTCCTCAGACCTGCCACCACAGGCACCCAAGGACAGATAGTGGGGCCACTGTGAACTGTACCTTCTCTCATCTAAGTTACTAATTTTGGCCCACTGTTTAAAGAGCATAACCCTGATTTTGTGATTGCTGTGTTATAGCTTAGGCTTTTGTCAGCTGTGGTTAGGAGAACAGGACACATCTACTAAGGATGTACTTTAAAACAATACCCACCTCTCTCAGGACCCAAAATTAACCACCATCAACACTCCTCCATTTCCTGTTTTCCCTGGGTGTCATAATGTACATTTATTATATTCAATTTTTCCACTTAACACCATGTCCCAACTTATCATACTTCTATAAAACATAATCTAAACTGTTCTGTAAGTGTATGAGACGGGGTTCTTAAGCACCTCACTACAATCACCTGTTTCTGACTTTGCCCTCATAGATACCATGTACATGCCCATCCTCGTGTCCAAGCTTCTCAATACTGTGAGTATCACACAGTTCTTGATACTGCTAAACCTTCTCAAATATCTAGATGCCCACAGAGAGTAGTATGTCCCCTGAATCCTCACCGGAACTAAATGCATCATTACAAAATACAATAGGCAAAAACTATTATTAAAATGTTCATCTGACTAAAAACTACAACAAATGGCTTGATGGGCTAATATAAGCTGAAATCCACTCCTTAGAGTCATCTGCTAAGTTTTTTTGTTATCTTTTTTTTTCTTATTTATCTATATGAAAATCCTTCAGACTACCAAGCTGAGTGAATTTTGACATCTTCTAATTCAATAAAAGTATTTTTCATATTCAAGTTTTAAATATCTGTATTTCTTTTAGTTATGTATGAATGTATGTATTTTTATAGTTTATGGTAAGTGTGCTAGAAGTATATTATCAAATACAGTCAGTTTAGCACAAAGATTCCAAGGAACTGGTTAACAAATAGGTCATAGATCCAAGCGCATGAGCGCTCAGAACCATCATAGACAATAACCATGCTTACCTGAGAAAGGCAGGCAGTGAGTCCAAAAAAAATCTGACAGGACTCTGGAGAGAAACCATTGACTCTGTCGGACAGTTATTAAGATTGCAATGAAGTAAGATGAGCACAGCCAGAACTTCACTAACATAAGCCCTGCCTGCCCACTAGGCCAGGCTCTGCCACCTCCCTCCCGCTTGGAGCATTTAGAAAGTGAGAGACGCTGAAGATGACCAGAGATGGCAGAGCAGATGGGAGTAAAGCATGAGAAGAAGTGAGCAACTGTCTGCAAAGGACGTCCCAAAATCCAAGTCTCTACTCACATCATCACTAAGATCGACAATGTGTGCATGGGAAACTTCCTGACTCCTACCCACTACCTAACTATACACCACGCAGATATACGGGACAGACACACAAACACACTCCCTAAAAAGCAATGTGTAGAGGATGTCAAATGCAGCAACCAAGGTTGTGCTCGTCCCACTCAGGGCTCCTTCCTAGAAGGGCCTATGTGTTCTGAACTCAGGCAGGACAACTCAGGGTGTTAGAATCCCTACAATATAAATTATGAAGACCATTTCTGGCTTGAAAGGTTGGACCATCCATCTGAGTTCATTCTGAGATCGCTGAGCACTGACAGAGCAGGTCTCTTGGAAACAGGGAGTCTTCAAAACAATGGAGTATTGTCCAGAGTTCAAAACAGATGGAAAGGACCCCTTGAGATAGGTGGGTTATGAACAAGCTAAACTGTAATTGTATAGACCTCCCTTACAGATACACTGACAAACCCTAAATATGGACCATCCCTGCCCATAATAAATGGAGACTCTGGCACAAGGTCCTCTGCTCTGTTAGCCAAGACCTTTCCAACTTGGCACCTAACTTCAGGGTTTCTCTCCTTCTCAAGATGGGGGAAAACACCAACAAATCTCAGGGTGACTACTAGTTAATCTTGGGCCCTCATTCTGGTGTTTTAGGTTTCTTTACAGACAGATAGGCAAGAGCTCAAATAACCTTCCTGAGGAAGACTGGTGTTGAGAAAAGGTCCATAAGAGATGAACACCTGACTACATCTCAGAAATGTCCACTTCCCCAAGGTCGGGTTTGTCTGTCTGATTGAAACCTGTGCGTATAAAGATACGAAACAACAAAGAATCCTTCACTCTTTGGACTCTAAATGAAGAATGAGAATTTGAGCTAGAGCTGCATCCTCCAAGAAGAGCTGCTAAGAGAGGAAGGCTTGAGCAGCTGAGGCCTTAGCAGTGTCTCAGTTAAGTCCCTCTGCTCAGACTTGAGAGGAGTATGTACATTCAAAAGAGCTGTGTGGCACAGCTGTAAAAAAAAAAAAAAAAAAAAAAAAAAAAAAAAAAGGGCCTGCATGATGGTGCGGATCCTCAGGTGCCATGCCAGAACTTGAGTGTGATTCCTCCATGGCAGAAATGATTTCCAAAATCAAGTTCTGTTCACCTGCCTCTCCAGTGAAGCTTTATCCCAACAGAGCAAGCCAGAAGACACTAGGCCTACAGTAGGAAACAGAAATGGTGAGGAATATCCCAGTTGGGACCCAAGACAAGATTCTGGGCAGTCATGAGGGAGAAATAAGAGATGGCTGACACAGGTCAGGAAGAAGCTACACACGGTAGAGTGAGTTTGCTTTTGGTTTTGAGACAGCGTCTCATATACTTAGGCTAGCCTTGAACTCTCCTACAAAGCCCAGGATAACCTTTAAGTACTGATGCTCTTGCCTCCACCTCCTGAGTGCTGGAATCATGGGCACGCACCAACAAGCCCAATTCATGAAATCAATGCTGGGTACTGAGCCCAGGACCTAAAATTAAGATAGCTCTTTATCAACTGAGCTGCAACCCCCACTCCAAATCCCAGAATACGGTCATTGCCACTCTATTTTCACATCCAGGGCTGAGCGGGGAGTGTAGAATAATACACCTACCATAGGATCTACCTAACTAAAAAGATGAATACTTATCAAACTAGGAACTTCCTTCTCGTGTTTTCTAAAAGTCATTTATGACTTTCTCACCTGACTTAGCATTCTAAACTTTTTATTTATTTATTTATTTATTTATTTATTTATTTATTGGGTCTAATAAACATTATAAGACTGAAAAGAGCTGCAACTCTGGGTCCTCGCCATAACTGCTGACCACTGCTTTTTGATGCAGGTAATGACGAGGACCAGTACACACCATTTCATACAGGACAGGAAAGAGCAGGGGACAGAAGGGCAGAGGAAATGCTAGTCCCACTCGTGAGCCCACTAACTCAATGCATCTTAAACCCACAACTATCCCCTGGGCCCCCACTCATAAGTCTGCTAACTCAATGCAACCTTAAATCCACAGCTAGCCCCCAACCTCGATGTAGAAAAGGATACGGCAGGAGAACTCCACACTGCACGGACAGAGTCACCCAGGAAGGCTGAAAAAAAAAAAAGAATGACACAAATCAAAAACCATTCACAATGTGTGACCAAACTGACATAACTTCACTAATAGTGGCCTTCTGGAAATTAGAAGGCTCTGTTGTAACCCACTATAGTCATCCCCATGCAAACAGGAGAACAAGGAAGCAGCAATCAAAGATCATGTGTCCAAGCCACACACCCCAGTTCCAAAATGAAGCAGCCACTGCATTCCTTAGGCTTGTGATAGATGCACAAGTTTAGGTTCAACCCTAATTGCGGCCATCTCACCCACAAGCTCAGCACAGTCAAAAAAAACAGACTAAATTCACAAGGTTGTGGGTTTATTTAAAACCAAGGATACACAATATTTGCAAACCATTAAAAAAAAAAAAAAAAAACCTCTTCTAATCTTATGAATTCCAAACATTCATTACAAGGTAAACTAAGTACTTCTGAGTACTTTATATTCTTGGAAAACTAGCTCACCTTATATTTCTTTTTCCCTTTTTTTTTTTTTTAATTTTATTTATTTATTTATTTATTTGGTTTATCGAGACAGGGTTTCTCTGCATTGTTTTGGAGCCTGTCCTGGAGCTCACTCTGTAGACCAGGTTGGCCTTTAACTCACAGAGATCTGCCTGCCTCTGCCACTTGAGTGCTGGAATTAAAAGCGTGCACCACCAATGCCCATCCAGCTTTCACCTTATATTTATAATTCACTTTTAAAAATCAAATGACCTGTCAGATCTACATGACACCACCTGGATGGCATTGCCCTACATGTGGAATTGGGGTGGGGGAATGGGAGGGGAGGGTGGTCAGGGTGCATGTGAGGGGGCAGAGAGCGTAACAGGGAGGGAAGTGGGAGGGAGAAAGGGGGAACTGGGATCGACATGTAAAATAATAAATTAAATTAAAAACAAATTAGACCAACTGTTATTCTAATAACTCTATTTCAAGAAGTGACAATCTGGAAGTCTAGCAATGGTACCCGTTAGCCTGCTGACTCTGAGAAGCTTGGACAAACAAAACATATACTCAATTGCTCATTATTGAAGCAGCATTGTAGTCAGCAAAATATGTTCCAAATCTGTGAAGAGACGATACAAGACTCGAGGCAGACAGAGAACAGGAAGAATACAGTCTCTACTCATGCTGACCGGTAAAGTAGACTTGACCATAGTGCCTACTACCTTACTACCTTCAGACCCACAGTGTGCCCTACAGAGCATTTTTCAAGTGATACATATAATTCTTTTCTTCCTTTCTTTTTCCTTTTCTTTCTTTTTTTCTTTTCTTTTTTCTTTTGGTTTGAGATATGGTCTCATGAACCCCAGAATGGACTCAAACTTGATATATAGAGAAGGCTGGCCTTGAATTTGTGACCATACTAGAATTCCAGGCCTCTATCACTATGCCTGGCTAAAGCCTGTTCTTTATGACAAGAACAGTAAATATTTTATAAAATAAAGACTGCCTGTATCCAGGATAATCTCAACAGAGGCATGCGCTGTCTTACTAGATAGACAGTTCAGCACTCTGGCAAAAAGCCCCTTCCTTGCTTTAACCAACACTGCTGCCTACTTTCTGATAACCCTGACTGGTTTCAATGAAATTTAGGTACTGAGTCAACATCAACAACCTGTCCTGGACCAGGCATGGTGGTGCAAACCTGTATCCCTTACAATAGATTTGGCAAGGTATGAGAACAAGACCACATACCAAGATCATTGTGAGAAAAAAATAAAACAAGCTTTGTGGACAACTCTTCTGAATTCAAAAAACACCTTCTCATGGCCAAACTTTCTTCCCAACGGGGACACCCAGAAGGCATGAGAACCTGCAGAACTACAAATGAGCTTACAGGAGCATTCCCAGAAACAGTTCTGTCAGCTGTCATGTAGTCTGCACACAGATGGATGTCACAGCCTGCAGCAATGTACTGTGAGAAGTTTGGACTGGACAACAATGGCAGCACTTTTCTTCTGTTCAGTGGGAAATAACCATGGGAACCCCAATGTGCTCAGGCAGCTTTAGACAATACCAGTTTGGAAATGTCCCTTTTATATTACATCCACTCAGCTTTACAGCCCTAGAGAGCCTTCACAAGGCTGAGTAGGGTTCCCCATTCCAAGCAGAGGAGGGCCACCTCTCCAGACACCAGAGTAGTGAAAAGTAGGCTCACTGATGAAGTAGAACAGAAACAGGCTAGAGATGGCTCAGCTGTTAGGAGCATTGACTGTTCTCCCACAGGATCCAGGTTTGAATCCCAGCACCCATATGGTAGCTCATAACCATCTTAACTGCTGTCCCAGGGAATTAAATGCCCTGATCTGGTCTCCCCAAGAACTAGGTACATTCATGGTACACAGACACACATGTACACAAAACACACAAGTAAAATACTCATTTTTTAAAAGTTAGTATCTAGGCTGTGGTGGTTTGAATTAAGAATGGCTCCCATAAGCTCATATATTTGAATGTTTAGTCATTAAGGAGTGGCACTATCTGAGAAGTATTAGGAAGTGTCACTGTGAGAGGGTTTTGAGGGTAAGTCTATGTTTTAGGCCCAGTTCTCTTTGCCTATGAATCAGGATGTAGATAGCTCTCAGTCACTGTTCCAGCGCCTGCCTGCATGTCACCATGCTCCCACTGCAGTAATAATGGACTAAATCTCTGAAACTGTAAGCACACCCCACAATTAAATGCTTACCTTTAGTCACAGTGTCTCTTCAGTCATAGAACAGTGACTACAACAGAAATATAAGCCAAAGAGCATGTCTGCCCCTGGGAGCCAGGCCTCAGCCACCCCCAAGTCCCATCCCCAGCTAAATCCACACTCCAGCCCCTGCATGGGGTCAAGGACAGGCCTCAGCTCACACTCAGGATACGGAAGGAACTGCCCCCAAAACCTCAACTGACGGTCAGCTCTGAGAAGACCCCTCACAACAGTTTCTGGCTAACACAGGCACTGCCACAAATAACAAGTGGACTGGGGTGCTGATATGGGTCACCTGTTCAAGAACTACAGCCAAAGCAGGCAGAGTGTGGGACAGCGCACAGTCTGCCACAGCGCTGCCATGCAGTTCTGGTTGCTCTACTCAGCCTACAACTTTGTAATTGCCATTCTGAAATGTCACCTTTTAACTGGAAACTCCTCTGGAAGGATGAAGCTACCTGCACTGCACTACTGGCTCACTGATCCTATACACAGAGGTATCTGGCAGTTTCATTACATTTTATCCAGTAATTTTACCCAAGTATTTACCTACTGTTCATTTATCTTTTATTTTTCTTTGACATGTCAGCAGCTTCAGCAATTTTTATCTGTTTTTGTTTTGATGCTGAGAACCTCATGTATACTGGACACTGCCCTGCCACCAAGCTACACCCTTAGTCCCTAAGTACAACTGTAAATGTGTTGTCTATGAAAGACAGGAGAGAGAGATGCATATGTGTGCACCTGTGCACACACACGCAGAGGCCACAGAAGGACAACCAGTCTCCTATTCTACCACTCTCCACCCTAGTCCTTGAAGCAGTCTCTTACTGAGCTTGAAATTGGCTGGTGGTCAGGGAACCCCAGCTATCCTGTCTCTATCCTCCCCAAGTACTGGGGTTACATACATACATTGCCACACATAGTTTTCATGGGTGCTCAGGTCTTCATACAAGCAAGCTCTGTTACCCACTGAGTCATTCATTTCTCCAGCTCTGATTATTAAATCGTATGATAAGCTATCTTACACATGAATTTTACTTCAGAGACTAAGGGAGAAACAAAAAGTTTATTGCAAAGGGAGTCTTGGGGTCAAATGTGCTAAGATCCATCTCTATACTTGGTCTGACAACAGTGACCTAGGCCTAGCAACATGTTTGTAAGATAACCCTTTCCCTTTAAACCTGTATGAGACATGCAAGACATACTATACAACTGCTAACAGAAAACAAGCTCACAAGAAGGGTGGGCTGAGATGCAAACCCAAGAAGCCTGCCCTGGCTCACTGCCAGACATCTGGCAAGCTTTAGCAAGAAGCATCAGGTAAAGTGACCAAGAACCAGGCTGAGCACCAATCTTCAGAGACATAGTGAGCCTAAGCAAGCACACGTGCTGACATACAGGCAACTGCTGGATTTACCGCCACAAATAAATCATCTTCTGCTGTGGTAGTTTCCTGACAGCATGGGTAAGAACCTCCCTGGGACTCTTGAGGCAGACCACCTCTCAGGCTCATTTTCTAAGTCAAGTATGCAAGCCTGCAAACTTTTCTAGACCCTACATACTGAGAGGTTACCACACCCAATAGCCAGCAGCCCCTCAACACCTGATCTGATTCAGTCACTGCACTCCTAACTGCTATTGGAGAACCATGGTCACTTAATTGTTTGCCTCTTAAAGCATTGAACTGTCTGAACAGGGTAATGGTAGCAGGTAGGGAACAAAACTGAAAGGCCACCACAGAAGTAACACACATCACATTCACACATCCTGACTTACAAGTCCCACAGCACAGTGTGCAGGTGAACAAAACCTGAACAAACTGCTCACCAGCTGAAGCCCCACATTCTACAAACAAGTGGCCACAGGTCAGGCTGAATGTCAGTCCAGATGCCACCAGGTGGACAGCTAGTACAGTGAGCCACCATGGGAGATGGGGGCAGTCAGCAGGGAAGAGGCCTCCTCCTTTCGGCTATCCAGCTGGAGGATCAAGGCCACTGGCCACCAGGGAAAGGACAGCTGACTTTTAGAAGCTTCTGGAATCAAACGTCATTTCCTAGGACAGATTTCCTGAGCTGGAGAGTTGGCAGCAAGTGATAGCAGGGAATATTCCTACACTGAACAGGAACTATTTACAGAGCAACAGCAACCTTGCCATGTAGTCATGGAAGCTCAAGTCCCAAAGTTGAGAGGTGACTAAAGTTTAAGAGTTTCATCCACCTGACGACATCCCACTTAACACTGGCCCACAGGCACCAAGCCTGGCAGAAAGCCCTGCTATAGGGCCAAGGCACTTCTGGGGAGACAACATGACGTAAGGCAGAGGCTCAGACTTTCTACCGACCTTTACTACAGGCAAGTCAAAGACCTCCCGGGCTTCTCCCACTTCAGGGTTGTCCCCATCCTCTGAAATGATGTGTGAGGCCAGGGCATTGTAGGAGACTTCCTTGGCTTTCCCGGCTTTAAGAAGCTGAATAACCTAAGGAAACAAATCAACAACACAATTAATTTAAAAAAAAATACTGTATTGCCTTCCTGATCAAAGAAGTCATTATTAGCAATAACAGAAACACACTGTCCCCTACTGAGAGGCCTTTTCCTGAGTGATAAAACTAATGAAACACTTTTGGACAATAAAATTCAGCAACCCTGATTCACAGCCCAAGTCCTGGCCAGCTACTAGGCATTTGCTGTCCTCCAGACAGACAAGATACACCAGGACACAACAGAACAACCTGAGTTCTATTGAGTACCTGTTCAGACTTCCAACCCAAAGGCTGAGGACTGGCACTTCCACCACAATTAGGAAGTTTCTGGAGGCAGACACCCACCAGGAGAATCCTGATTTATGGATGCCCATCAGGCAAAATGTACACACTGAAGGAGGCCCAGCAGGGGAGCTCAGATTCAACCATGGACAGTATAGTCTTGGGTGCTATGCTCAGCAGTTTTCCTTAGATCATGGAAGGCTATCACAAAGGAAGGCTATCAACAGATCTTACAGATGGATATAACATAGGAATACATGGATTTGGCCATGTGCTCAGAGAGACTTGTTAAGACACAACTGTTGAGAGGCAGGTTACTAAAGAAATGTCAGTAGCAACAGAAGGAAAACAGGATAGAATTAACCAGACAATAACTAGACAGGGTGCAAGTATAACAGAAAAGCTAAGATGGAAATGCTGGCATCTTCTGGAGGGACTGATCAGAAGCAGAGAATGGAAGGGGCACTGCTGGGCTTTGGGGTGGACACGCCACTCTTTGGCCTCATGTCATACCTGATGAAAGACCTCCAGTTACACCTAGAGAGGACCCTGGCTCCCCAGAGACTATAACTCGCTGTTACAGATGGGAATCAAGGTTCTTAGAGTCATTGAGGTAGCCACCTGGATGCCAAACGTTGAGGACCCATCCGGGACACATGGGGCTAAGAGAAGCATCAGAGGAGAGCAACTTGACAGGGGAACACAGCCAGAGTCAAGGAAGAGCCAAAAGCAGCAGTGTCTAGGGAGCCTGCTGAGCATCACCTAAGAACCGGAGCAACCCAGTCAGTGTGTACCTGATGCATGGAAAATCAACAGTCACCAGCCATAAGCCAGTCTGCCTGGACCCCAAACACCTTTACTTTCACATATGAACTCCATCTGCCTGCCGCAGCCTTGCATTAAACTCAGGAACATACACGCAGCAAGCCCTCCCTGGCCTTCTCCTTCTCAGGTCCTGCTGCTTTCTATTCATGACAAATTTCTAGAAACAAGTCTCACTTTGCTGTCAACCTTTTCCCTTCTGCTCCCTGTAGCTGAACCCTTCTTCCCAGCAAACTATGCAAAGTCAGGTTTCAGACACTGAGGAAACCAAAACTTCTTCCCAAACTACTTATTACCAATTCTATCTCACAGAAGCCACCTTGTGACCATCAGGACACATGCCAAGTATATATTAATGCCTCCAATTCCTAGTACATGCATTCCCCACAGAGAAAACAACTTCTTGTACTCAATATCTGCTTACTGAAGACTCAGTACCCATGGCACCCTCCACCTGTTCCTTCCTAGGATGCACCATTCAGGAATGCTCTGCAATTGCAGCACACTGTGTACCAGGCCCAATGCCCAGGCTGTACTGGGAGTGCTCACCACCTGTGAGCTTCCTCAATCAGTATCACAAGACTCAAGGAATAGGTGCCCTGGCTCTAAATCTTTTTGAAAGTACACTATTTCAGATTATAAGGGCATGACAGGGAGACTTTTTAAGCACTCGGATTTCACACATAGTTGGGCAAACAGCTCAGTTCAGTGTGTTCCTGGTTTCAAGTGGTATTTGGTCCAAGTCCCTCATAAAAGTTAAAGTCCTAAAATGAAAAATAGCAAAGGGTGAAGAGAAGGTGGTAATGCGGTGATCAGTACTGGAATAAGCCAGTTACAAGCACTCATCCTGATCACTGTGGGTTCAACCCGAAGTCTCAACAACTAAGACCCAGTGGACCTGTTACTAGGATACAAGTACGAGGCTCTAGAAGGCTCTTAGACAATTCCTTCCTTAGGACCCATAACAAGACACAGAAGGTGAGACAACTGTACGCATAGTTTAGGAAAGAAAATGTCTGGGACACTGTCCTGAAGATACCACGACCACAGACAGTATTCTGTGGATGTATCCAAACCCACGGTTTACTCGCACGAATCACTGTGACCGTAAGGGTAGGGTACCTTCCACACCTACCGTACAAGTCACACTTAGGGAAAATCAGGGGCCGAGAGGACAGGGCCCTCTGCAAGGGACGCTCTCAGCAGGGCCCCGCAGGATGCTCGGCCGGCGGCCGCACCGGATCGGTGCTCGCGAGGCTCCTTCCGCGGCCCTTCGCGGCCCGGCGTGCCCCGCGGCTCCGGCCCAGAGTCCTGCAGGGCGTGCGCGCGCCGAAACAGGGGGAGGCACGACGGAGGGGCCCCGCGCGGGCGGTACCTGCGGGTCGATGTCGCCCACCGCGTAGTACTTGACCTCGCGGAACAGATCCTCCGGAACTTCGGGCGCCGGCTCCGACATGGTCGCGGCGGCGCGGCGGCGCCCGGCCGCGCGTCACCCGGCCCGCCGCGCCCAGCGCCCGCAGCGACGCCAACTGCTCGGCCGCACAGCCCGGCCCGCAGCCGCCGCCGCACTCCGACCGGCGCCCCCGCCCGCTCGAGACCCGGAGCGCGGGAGCAGCGCGCGCCCTGAGGCACGTACCACCGCGCCGGGCAGGCAGGGGAGCACATGGGGCTGCCCAGCCCCGTGCGCGGAAGAGCGCCTCTTCCACTGCCGCCCCGGGCCCCAGGGCCAATGTTGTTTACTATTTCGCACCGCACATGGCAGCCCTGCGCCTGCCAAGTTTCCGAGACCGAGAAGCAAGGACGCGGAAACTCTGTATCCCCTACAGAACCGCGGTGGACCAGCCAGGGGGCGGGGAATGGGCGGGGCTCCCGTCACCCCGCGCGGTCACCCGGCAGCGCATGCGCGAAGGGGGCGGGGCCTCGGCGCGGAGAGCGACTTGCACAGCCCGGCATGCGGGGTTGTGGTGTCGCCACCACTCCCGCTGGGAAGCGCACGGTCAGGCCTAGGGCCAGGCGGACCCTGGGTATAGTCAGTTTTGTTTCGTCCGCTCTTTTCACCTCTGCGCCAGGAACAGAGACTCGTTGAGCCAGCTTAAGAGCAAAGTTGAGGCGGCGACATGGCTCAGCAGATAAAAACACCGGCCCCCAAGCTGAGTTCGATCCCCGGGACCCACGTGGCGGAAAGCGAGAACCGGCTCCTAGGAGTTGTTCTCAGACCTCCACACGCACAACGTGGCACACACACATACTAAATAAGTGTACATTTCTCTGTGTGTATTGGAGTTTTCCCGGAATATATGTATGCTCCTGGTACCCACAGCCGTCAGAAGAGGGCTTCAGATCCCCTGGAACTGGAGTTAGCAGCGGGTACTGGGAGCCACACTTGAAAAGCTGCTGTTAACTGCTGAGCCATCCGACCCTTAGGCAATTTAGTTTTTAAAGGTAAACAGCAAAATTCATGAAAATTATCTTCACGGGTGTCTGTTGTGCAGAGTTACAGGAAACAATGTCAAGTTGAAACTTTTGTCGCGTTTTCACAAAATGACAAGTTCTACCACCACGGTGATACTGTTCATTCATTAAGCCTTGTGTTTTCTGTGACCTGTATTCAGTTCTTAGATTTCCTCAAATGAATAAAGAGCAGAGCCATTTTGTTTGATAGCCTTTAGAGAATAAGCACTCTGCTTACTGCTAATATTATTTCAGTAAGTAATATATATAATGTTTATATTTAGGTAAATGAGTTTAGTTTGCAAAAAAAAAAAGCCAAGTGTAAAGAGCTACAGCTGCTAAGACTTGTTGCTCTATCAGAGAACCCAGCACACACATGGCAGCTCACAACCACCTGTAATTCCAGATCCAGGAGCTCCAGTGCCCCTCTGGCCTCTGAGAACACTGCAAGCACCAGGCACACAGACATATAGGCAAAAAATGAAAAGTGAAACTAGAAAAAAATAAATCTAGTGCTGGAAATCAGACCCAGTCTATAGTGGGAAACCAGGGTAGGTTATTGAGATAGTATTTGCCAAGGCTCTTAGGGAGTCAACTCTGTGTGTGTGTGTGTGTGTGTGTGTGTGTGTCTATGTTATGAATGTTATAATGTGCATGGAAGGTTCCAACTATCTATACCTCTATTCCAGGAGTTCTGAGACCCTCTTCTAAACTCCAAGATCACCAGGCATGCAGGTGACACACATACAAATTATACGTGCAAACATTTAGGCTACAGCCCAGCTTCTTAGTACACCATGACTCCATTTGGGTGTCAGAAAAGAATTGACAACTGTAGAAAGTTTCCAAACATGCAAGGATCAAAAATAATTCTAAACCAAATGTTTGATGAGTCCAAGGTGTTTCTGGTGCTGCCGGCCAGTGTTGCACCATCCGGCTTCACTGCAGCCTTCGTTCTGAACACACACACACACACACACACACACACACACACACACTCTGTACTGTGTGTGGCGGTCATACCGTGCACTGTCAGCAAACGCTGCCTGAAACTCAGTTCACATTCACGGCTGTTGTCTTGAATTTCACTGTTTGTACTGTCCATACAAAGTTTTCTGCTTCTACAGAAACATAATATTTTAATTACAGGAAACAAACCCAAGTTCTCTGCAGGTACAGCAAGCTTTCCTAAATCCTGGTACAGCAAGCTTTCCTAAATCCTGAACCACCTCTCTGGTCCCCCACCACACCCCATCACTCCTGAAAGTATTTCCTTCTGAACTGTACTATTCCTGTGCTTTGCATAAGCATCTTTACTGCTTTGTGAATCTGTGTGTGTTTATTTCAGTTCCTTGAATAAGATACCGACAGCCCGAAGCACCCTGTCAGAGACTGACCGTCAGTACCACCTTGAATGGGAAAAGAACAAGGCACTTGTTCTGGCCACTCTTCCTCCAGGGCCTGGCTGTCTGCCTTTCCCTTCACCCTAGGCTCCTTTCCTACCCCTGCATCCAGCCCCACCTGGGCCTCTTCATTCCTCCACAGATGATCCTGACTTCAGCGTGCTTCTTCTGAGTATATCTTCCACAAGATGGACGTGAAACCTGATAGAGACATTTTCTTTAAAATGTGTCAGCATTAAGAAGCTAACAAAAAATGTGCATCAGTGAACCTGATCTTGGTGGGATGAGTCAGGCAGGCACAGCAGAGACCCACAGATGAGGTTCCTGTGCAATGCTTGCCTGTAACCCCAGCTCACAGGATGTGAGTGTAGAAGGGCTGAAGTTCAAGGCCAGCCTGAATTATATACAAGACCCTGTTTAAAGAAGTGACATTTGCTAAGGGAAACATGTAAGGAAAAGAAGGTAGGACATGGATACAAGCATCTCAAGAGAGCCTCATTCAAGTATCAAGGGTGGCATTGGAAGCTATACTGCTCAAAGTATTTAAGAGATTAAGTAAATTCCTTTAGTATTCATTTAAAAAAATAATGTCACATTATATAGCCTAAATTGAGATCAAACTGTTAATGTTCCTTCCTACCCCCACCTGAGACGATGGTGTTGCACCACCACACCTAGACAGACTGCTTTTATCTAGAAGATATTTCTTTAGTGATAAAGATTGTTAGGTGGGGCCAGGTATGGTAATGCACACCTTTAGTTAGTCCCGGAACTTGAGAGACAGAGATAGGCAGATCTCTGTGAGTTCCAGGTCAACCTGGCTTACATAGGAAGTTACAAGACAGCCAGGGCTACACAGTGAAATCTTGTGCCGATAAATAAGCCTGTTGGGTGGCTCTGAGTTGCATTGCAGAGATTTACAGGTTTAAGCAAGGTCAAGGCAATCCTTATTTTTCTGGGTCAGAGGGAAGTCATATATTTTGATTATAGACATGGCTCCTAATCTTAGTGAGGTTTCCTTTTTAAATTTAATTTTTTTATTTATAATATATATGTACATGTTCGGTGTGTGGGAGCATGTGGTCCTGTTCTACTGCTGTGATAAAAGCACCATAACTAAAAGGAATCTTAAAAAGGTTTATTTCAGCTAACAGTTCTGAAGAGAGTCTAATGACGGAAGGCATGGCAGGAGTAGGAAGCTGAGAGACCACATCTTCAAACACAAGCCAAAGCAGAGAATGAAGTGGAAGTGAAAGGAGGCTATGAACTCTCGAAGCCTGCCAGAGCAGCATACTTCCTCCAGAAACAGCGCCACCCACAGGGGACCCAGTATTCAAAGATGTATGCCTATGCCGGTGAGGGGACACTTCTCACTCAGACCACCACAACACGTACTACAGTGTGTGTGCAGAGGTCAGAGGACACCTTTGTGAAGTTAGTTCTCTCCTTCCACCTTCAGATGTAAGTTCCAAGGATCTAACTCAAATGGCCTGATGTGTGTAGCAAGCATCTTTATCCTCTGAGCCATGTAGCTGACTCTGTGAGAAGTCTTGGTTCTTAGCCAACAGGAGTAAGGGGCTCCTTTGCCTACCATGCCTTGTTTCCCACTGCCTTGCTACCTTGCCTCAGTTTCCCCCTCTAAGACTTTGATCACTTACTCTTAAGGTCTGATAATGGCTGAAGTTCTGTTTCCTGTGGGTTCTTTGTGTTGAATAGGGACATAGAGTCTATCCAGATTAAAAGGCTCTACCTGCCTGATCTAATTAGGACAGGAAAGGTTCAAGCTTGGAGACAGGAGGATGCTCATTTGGCAGCATTCTGGATGAAAAAGTATAAAGATTATGCCCAAAGATAAATAGAAGCCTCTGTGTGTACAAAATGTAGGTTTTTTTTTTTTTTTTTTTTTAACTCTTTGTTCTTTGGCTCTTTGGAGGGCCTGACACACAGCTCCCAAATAAATACACAGAGGCTTATTCTTACTTATAAATGCCCAGCCTTAGTTTGGCTTATTTCTAACCAGCTATACAGGCTAAATATTCATATATATATTAAAACCAGTAAATTAATGTTTCCTTTTTTATTGGGTTATACATTTTCCCCACTCCCCTTCCTTCCTCGCCTCTCCCCTTCTACCCTCCCCCATACTCCACTTGCTCCCAATTTACTCAGGAGATCTTGTCTTTTTCCCCTTCCTAGGTGGATCCATGTATGTCTCTCTTAGGGTCCTCTTTCTTACCTAGGTTCTCTGGGGTTGTGGCCTATATAGGCTGGTTGTCTTTTGCTTTATGTCTGATATCCACTTATGAGTGAGTACATATTACATCTGTTTTTCTGGGTATGGGTGACCTCCCTCAGGATGGCCTTTTCTAGTTCTGTCCATCTGATTGCAAATTTTAAAATGTCATTGTTTCTTACCACTGAATAGTACTCCATTATGTAAATTACCACATCTTTCTTTTCCCATTCTTTGGTTGAGGGGCATCTAGGTTGATTTCAGGCTCTGGCTATTACAAATAATTCTGCTATGAAATAGTTAAACAAATGTCCTTGTGATGTGAGTGTGCATCCTTTGGGTATATGCCCAAGAGTGGTATTGCTGGGTCTTGAGGTAGACTGATTCCCAATTTTCTGAGAAGCTGCCATACCGATTTCCAAAGTGGCAGTCCCAGTTTGCACTCTCATCAGCAATGGAGGAATGTTCCCCTTACTCCACATCTTCTCCAGTATAGGCTGCCATCAGAGTTTTGGTCTTGGCCATTCTGACAGGTATAAGATGGTATCTCAGAGTTGTTTTGATGT